ATGTGACATATCGGGACTTTTTCTCCCTTCGCTAAACCGGGCGGGGACAGAGCCAGCATGTGACGCATCCGGCCGCGAGTTTGACACCCTTGATGTAGATAATTAAAATTGGTTGTTTGTTTGTTTGGAAGTTTTCCAAAAAATAAATTCATGAAAGTGATATCGGTAAGATCTCACAATTACAAATCTGCCCATTAAACCACAAAGATGGAAACCCCTGATTTACCTGATTTACTACATTTCTTCTAGTAGATTTTGAGAGATCTAGGACAACTCTCCATGGCAAACTCACCACAGCTAACTTGCTGCAGCCAATCCAACATGGCTAACTCACCACGGGGAAACCTACTACGGGACAATTCAACATTATATTAATTGTTTCATTCAGGGTTTTTTTAATTATTGGTGACCATCTTTTTTTGAAATTATTGTAACGCTTGTATTTCTGGATGGACTTTCTTTATTTTGTTATAATTGGAGCCTTGGTGGCACAGTGGTTAGAATGCAGTATTGCAGGCTAATTCTGCTGACTGCCAGGAGTTCGACTCTCACCAGGCTCAAGGTTGACTCAGCCTTCCATCCTTCCAAGGTCAATAAAATGAGAACCCAGATTGTTGGGGGCAATATGCTGACTCTGTAAACCTCTTAGAGAGGGCTGTAGAGCACTGTGAAGTGGTATATAAGTCTAAGTGTTATTGCTATTGCTATTGGCTACAGTTCCATTAAAATTAAGTTAACTTTCGTATTTATTGAATTGTCCTGCAGTGAGTTGTTCTGCAGTTGATTGGCCAGAGTGTTGGCCATGGTGAATTGGCTGTAGTGAGTTGCGCCATTCCAGATTTTGAGAAGGTATTTATAGATTTTTCAAGCAGGATTCACCATTTCCACATTTGTTTGGTTTATCCTGCGCTTCTGTGTGGTTTGCTTTCTACAGTAACTATGCTTGACAATGCTCACTGCTGGCAAACATATAAAATCAATTTAGAAAACTTGTTGAGGGGTTCTTTTACCTGTAATTTTAATCTGATATTTTAATAGAAACCATGGAGCCTAAGATCAGGAAAGAATTTCCCTTATTTATGTTCTTCCTTCTTAACTGAGGCTCAGGATCAGATGGATAGACCAAAGAGACCTTGCCAATTGCTGACAAAATGCTAGCTGCATGCTCTCAAATCAATCTGTAATTTGATTTATTCTTCTTGCAAAATCCAGATAGTTTAAACCATGGTTGAAGAGTCTGGCTTATGTATAACTCTAAACTAGGATTCTGAAATATTGCACTTCCCTACATTAATAAATGAATTGGTGCACCTGCCAGGGGTAAACCTAAATAATAATTACATAAGACATTAATAACAGATGGTGATTGGTGTCTTTGAGAAATGACTAGATTGATGGGTGTAGCTATTTCTCAAAATGTGCTTTGGCAAAGCCAGAGTGAATTTTGACAGTGCTTCCACTTTTGGCTCCACGAGTCATGAATGGAAGCCTGTTTCAAGCTCTTTCAGTCTTGGCTGGTTGTTTTACCTGCACCTGTAAGCCCCCTGCAAGCTTGTCCAGTCAAAACAGGAGCACAATTGGACAGCATTCCCGCTTTGCTTGGACAGGTCCAGCCAGCTTTAAGGGGGAAAAATTGCAACTGCCTGCCAACGCCTTGGGAGTTCTGACCAACTGAGGATCTCCACACTAAGCCAAAACAGGTGGGCTCACACAACTAGTTTCACTGCATAAACAACTCCATTATACTTAGTGATAAATGTGACTCAGGATAACATCAAGATAGTGCAAGGATCTTTTCTATATGTAGTGAAAGAAACATGGAGATCGTAAAGATTATCGTTTATCTGACAGTGCCATGGCTGTGGCTTTCCCCCGGGGTGGGCTTCAAAAATTTTAGCAAGGGGTTCTCTGCCCAGTTGCTGGGTGGGCGTGGCCATGGTGGACGTGGCTTCGTCGGCCTCCTGCACCACGGGGGGGGGCTTTTTGCCCTCCCCGGGCTCTGGAGGCTTTTCTCGAGCCTCTGGGAGGGTGAAAATGGCCTCCCCAGGCTCCAGAGGCCATCTGGAGGCCAAAAATAGGCCCATTTCCAGCCTTCCCGAACTTCCGGTAGGCCTGTTTTTTGCCCTCCCTGAGCGTCTGTGCGTGCCCTGCACTTACCTGCATCCAAAACAGGCTGTGTGGGGACTCCTGGGAGTGGTGGGGTGGGGTGGGAGAGGCCAGTCAGGAGTGGGATTTGGGGGTTCTCCCAACTGCACAGAATCTTAGCTAGGGGTTCTCCCGAACCCCTGTGAACCCCCAGCAGCCCATCCCTGCTTTCCCTCCATCTCCCAAGGTCTTCCCCACACACCTTTACAAATATCTTCTTGTGGCTGTTTCCAAGATGGCAGAGGAAGCACTGGGGCTTCGCTTGCTCTCTGACTCCCTCTGCACCCATTGTTATCTGTGGCTCCATCTTCCAATGCTGGAAATCACAAGGAAAAAGACACGGGTTGAGGGATGGCGTTTCCAAGCAGATGTATCCACAGTGGAGCTATATGACTGAACCCCAAAGCATTCATAAGATAGCATATTGCTAAGGCAAGCAGTTCTAGAACTGCAATAGGCAGCAAAATAACACCTCTGCAAGAAATGAACAAAGCTGTCATACCGAGAGGTATCCTAAAACAGAAACTGGAAGATTTAAGAAAAATGTATACAACAGGAAGAGTACAACAGCAAGTATAATGATTGTATTATCGAGGTTTGGCTATTGGAAAAACATGATAGAGGGTGAATTCCCAAATATTCTCCCATGATCCTGAATAGAATTTCTATCTCCACATAGATATTAAGGCCGAATATCTGCATCTGTTAGCAACATATACCCCCTCAACACCTTCAGTGTCTCCTGATAAACATCTCAAGATTGCATTGCTGCAATTTGGTGACCAAAGTCAGGTTTTTCTCTTTGATATGCAGCATTTCTTTCACAATAAATTGTCCTCCATTATAAAATGTTATTTTTATAAAGTTTTATCCAATGCTGGAGCTTTTAAGAAGCGATCAGACAACCATTTCTCTGAAATGGTATGGGGTTTCCTGCCTCAGCAGGGGGTTGGACTAGAAATCCTCCAAGGTCCCTTCCCACTCTGTTATTCTGTTATCTCTCTTCCAAGGAAATCCTAGTCACCTTTTGAACTCATCTATTATATCCCCCATCTCCTTCAATCATTTTTGCTTGGTGGGGTATCCTGGAAATTGAAGTCTTAAAATGGCTACAGTTGGGAAACAATGGAATGAAATGGAATGGAATGGAATGGAATGGAGTGGAGTGGAGTGGAGTGGAGTGGAGTGGAGTGGAGTGGAGTGGAGTGGAATAGAATAGAATAGAATAGAATAGAATAGAATAGAATAGAATAGAATAGAATAGAATAGAATAGAATTTCTTTATTGGCCAAGTGCGATTGGATAGACAAGGAATTTGTCACTGGTGCATAAGCTCTCAGTGTACATACAAGCAACAAGTGATAAATCATGATCATAATCATAAAGTACAATCATCAGAAATCATAAGATACAAACTCAGTGATGATCATAGTTATTAGTTATGGTCATATGAATATAAATGTCTGATCATTGCACTGGGGATGGCAAAAGCATCACCCCCAAGTGCATTACCCCAGTTCACATCTTACCAAGCATCAGATTATGGGTTTGGAAAGGATTCATGCACAAGAAGTGAATGTGTTGCAGTTCCAAACTTCGCAAAAAGTCTCCATCCCCCTCCGCCATTTTTAGTATACTTCCCTTCACTCCTGGTCAGTGACCATAATTAAAATCCTTTTATGTGTATTTTTTTCTTTCTTTCATAATTCTTGACTCACTTTCCCATTATGTTGAAGGAGGTTATCCTTTCTAATTGGAGGTAGGAATTGGGCAGGCAGAACCAAGGAATTTACCTGCCTGGCATGAGGAGAGCTTGTTCCTTTACAGAGTAATTGGTGTAAAAGCCTAAAACTACTCAGAGAATTGTTAAGACAATTCCATTCGGGATGCGGGGGTCATATAGATGTCAGTAGTATCACATTATTGCCATTATAATAGTGACTGGGGCTTTATCCCAGAGGATAAATTGCTTTTATGGACAGCTCAGTTAATGTTCTGACATGACATTAAAATGTTATCTTGCTAATGCAAACATTTCTGCAAGCTTTTCTGGGTGGACTAGAGGAGAAACTAAATAGAAACTGGTGTTTTCCTCCAAAATGACTGTAGTGTTTTGCAGTGATTTCATCTCAGTGAGGCCACAATTTAAAACAGGACTAAGGAATCTGGAGTCCTCTGGATATTTTTGAGTGATATTTCCAGTCAATTCCAACCTAAACAGTCAAGGGTCAAAAATGCTAGGAGTGAGAAACCAAAAAAATCCCTAAAATGTCCCAGATTGTTTATTTCTAATATTTTTTAAAAAAGGCTTTCCAACTATGACATTACATTGATTCACTTGTTTGTATAATGTTAGAGGTGAGTATTGATAGAAAAAAACCTTTGAATCCCATTCACTCTTTTCAAAATGCATCTATTAAGTACAACATTACGGAGAAACCAGTTTTCTAGAAATAAGTTGGATTGAGTGACAAGCGTTACTTCCACCCTATGTCCTTGTAAGAAAATTCATTCACATACAGTATATTTGTCCCAGTAGGCATATTTTTCATAACCAGTTTTTGTTCATTTAGAGGTTTTGTACATTCCCCGTTTGCTAATGTAGACATTTTTGTAAACACATTTATACACAATTCCTATTGATAAATTGGTACTGCAAACTCTAGCAGCATGCTAATATTGATGAAAGCATGCAGTGCGATTTAGGCATAAGTTTGGACGATACGCATTGGTGATTTAAACAGATTTCTCTCACCCATCAGTTCACCACTGCATAGATGGATTGTTGTCGATTCCTGTTCTTCTGAGAATCTATTGCTTTGTGTTTCTATAATGTCGTGTTCTTTCCTTTCCAGGTGATCAACGTTCCAATATTGTCAATGAGTCCAGCAGCCTTTTAGGGGGGTCCCCTCGAAGGCAGTGTGGACGCAAAGGCTCCCCCTATCACACTGGGCAGCTTCACCCTGCTGTCCGAGTGGCCGATCTTCTCCAGCACATCAATCAAATGAAAACAGCGGAAGGGTATGGCTTCAAGCAAGAATATGAGGTGAGAAAGGACACAAATGTGATCCATTGTCTAAAGCTCACCCTTTCTCTCCTTTCACTTCCTATGCATTCCACCTCTGATAATGTAGCTGAAATTTGGTTCAACTTTGTTGTTCTTGTTAGTTGAGAAGTCATGTCCGACCCATCGCAACCCCATGGACAACGTTCCTCCAGGCCTTCCTGTCCTCTACCATCCTCTGGAGTCCATTTAAGCTCACGCCTACTGCTTCAGTGACTCCATCCAGCCACCTCGTTAGCTGTCGTCCCCTTCTTTTGCCCTCAATCTTTCCCAGCATTAGGCTCTTCTCCAGTGAGTCCTTCCTTCTCATTAGGTGGCCATCTTCATTAAGTGAGTTTCATCTTCAGGATCTGGCCTTCTAAAGAGCAGTCAGGCTTGATCTCCTCTAGGACTGACCGGTTTGATCACCTTGCAGTCCAAGGGACTCGCAGGAGTCTTCTCCAGCACCATATTTCAAAGGCCTCAATTCTTTGGCGCTCAGCCTTTCTTATGGTCCAACTTTTACAGCCATACATTGCAACTGGCAAAACCATAGCCTTGACTATACACACTTTTGTTGGCAGGTGATGTCTCTGCTTTTTAGTATGCTTGGTTCAACTTAGGAAAAACAAATTTTAAAAATGCTTTCTTTTTCCATTCAATGGAAGGAAAATGATCAGAGTGGAAAAATATGAAAGAAGGTTTCTGACGTGCTTGCAAGAATTAATGGCATAAATACATTCTCTCTTGGGAGAAACCTCCTTTTCTATCATCTGCCTTTTCTGGAGAAATCTTCCTTTTGTTGGATTCTGTTTCCCACTGCTGACTTTGGAAAGGCTACAAGCAGTCCAAAGCCACCATGACACAATGCCCAGAATATCTCATGGGTAGAATGATGCCAAAAGGACATTGTGTCCTTCTGAAACCACCGGCACTGTCTCTTCTGCTGTATCCAAACAGAACATTTTCTGCTACTCCATTTCAAGATGTTGTCACAAACAATATAGTTTTCTGCAGGATGTCTTGGTTGCATAAAATTGCTGTCTCGTGTCCAATGGCTTGAGACCTTCTTCTCCAGGGTTGCTGATCTGGGCTAGTCTGACAAACCTGGGCTAGTAATTGGGGCACCTTAAAAAGCTGCTTGTCCCAAACCAGTTGTTTGAAAAGCACTCGGAAATAAGAAACAGGGAATGAAACACATTATTTTCTTCTATTTTTACTCTGTTACTTTCAGCAGTAGGTGTTTCTATGATATCACACCAGCATTCAATGGAATCTGCTCATGAAATAAAAGAAAATGAAAGAAAAAAAAAAGAACTGGAATGCATATCCAAACATTATACTGTAGGGGTAGGTGGTGGTGATATCCAAAAACCCAGGAATCCAGTCCAATCTCAACACTGGGAAGTGAATAACCTAATTTTTATTGAACCTAAAGTGTGTGTAGTGGTGGTGGGGGAGATCTAGATTTAAAACCTGGTGCAGACGTTTCTAAAGGGTTTGGTTTCTGTGGTGGGTTGCCCCCGGTTCGCACCGGTTCTATAGAATCGGTAGTAAAACCAGTGGGAGGCTCTGCCCACTGACCCCGACATCATCAAAATGCTTCTGTGCATGCACAGAAGAGCGCACATGCGCGCGAGCGAAGCAAGCACACACGTGCAGCCCCATTGCGAACCGGTAGTAAAGGTAGGTAGAACCCACCCCTGTTCTGCTTGTATCTTGTGGGCAATTAAACAATGGGTCTAGCTGTGTGGTGACAATGACCAAGAACAGACAATCGTTTGGTTGATGGGAGTGGACACATTTCATCATTTTTCTACAAAGGTGTATGTTTCTCTTGCCTACCTTTTGGCTAATGAAGAGAGCCAGTTTGGTCTAGAGGTTAAGGCACCAGGCTAGAAGCCAGGTGACAGGGAGTTCTAGTCCTGCCTTAGCCATGAAAGCCAGCTGGGTGATCTTGGGCCAGTCACTCACTTTCTCTCAGCCCCAACTCACCTCAAAAGCTCATTGGGGAAAATAGAAGTAGAAAGGTACCATATTTTTTGGAGTATAAGGCACTCCAGACTATAAGACGCACCTACCTTTTTTGGTGAAGAAAACAAGAAAAAGAAATCTGCCTCTGCCTCCCAGCAATTTTGCCTCGTTGCAGCAAACAGCAAATAGTCTGCTTTACTTTCATTTTCGTTTTCAGCATAGCTTGATTAGCACAAGAAAAAAAAAAATCTGCTCCCAGCAATTTACCTCCTTGCAGCAAGCAGCAGAGGCCCGTACAAGATCCAACAGACAATCAGCTTGTGCTAATTAGGCTGTGCAGAAGTTGAAATGGGCTGTTTCTCCTTGCTGCTTGCTGCAAGGAGGTAAATTACTGGGAGGTAGAGGCCAAAGGGTGGGGGCCAGTGGGTGGGCGGGGCTACATTGGGTGTATAAGACCCACCTAAATTTTCACCCCCTTTTAGCGGGGAAAAAGGTGCATCTTATACTCCAAAAAATACGGGTATTTTTGGACATGTTTGCCACTTTGAGTTGATGATTAGAAAAAAGAAAGAAAGAGGAAGAGAGAAAGAGAGAGAGAGAGAGGAAGGAAGGAAGGAAGGAGGGAGGGAGGGAGGGAAGGAAGGAAGGAAGGAAGGAAGGAAGGAAGGAAGGAAGGAAGGAAGGAAGGAAGGAAGGAAGGCAGGCAGGCAGCCAGACTCAGGGGTTGTGGTAAAAACTGTAGTTCAGTCATAAGGATGTGATGGCCCTCCAGAGGCTACTGCACTACACTCCCATAATTCCTGACTGTTACAGTAGTTGTGCGGTTAAAGAAATCCAGCGCCACCAGGGAGAAGTCAAGTTGTGAAAGGGTGATTAAAATTCCTCACACTGAAACCAAGTTATAATAGGTCATAACAGAGGTGTGCATTCTCCCTGACACAGTTTCTTCTTATGTGCCCTATGATTTAAATTTCAGATAAATGTATTTCTCTGCTGCACTCCTGTTCAGTCAGCGAGGTATCCCAGGGCACTGCCAGGGTTGAAGGGGATCCTGCAGAAAATGCTGCAGGAACCAGCCTCCCTTTTGTATTCATCAAGCATACCATGTCCAGGTTTCTCTTCCCCACACCCCATTTGCCCTTCTAGCACACTTTTCTTTCCTTTGATATAAAGGAGGTAAAAGATTTTGAATGTACCTGACAGTTAAATTTTAGTTGTACTTGAAGTCTTAATTTCTCCAGAGGGGCTCAAATAGTGGAAAGGAGAAATTGGGAGCATCGCAGTTCCTTTGTTAATTCCTCCAGGTTATGGGACTCTGGAACAATGCCCCAAGTTTCTCTCTTAATGGTACCCAGGGGAATAGCCAGTAATCACTGTGTTTTGAAGGCAGATTTTTGAGGTCTCATATGCCTTCTGAGCATGTGCTGCACCAGTGCAAAAACCTTTCTGAGGGCACCAGGAGAGGCCTCTCTACTAAAAACTAGCCTCTTCTGGCATCTGAAAATCAGTCAGAGCTCACTTTGCCTTTTAACCCAGAGACTTGTGTCACTGTGAAGCAGCTTCAAGCAGGTCTTCTGATAAAAGCATCATTGAGTGAAGCACCTGTTAGACTTAACACATGGCAGTAAACCTCTGCTCTCCAAACTCTTCTTTACCCAGCAACTATCATAACAAAGCTAGGCAAATTGCTTAATTGCCCGCAAGTAGAAGCAGAAAACCAAAAACGAAGCCCTTCACAGATGTCTGCAGCATAAATAAATAACAAAAATAGCAGCATAGCAGACTTGGAAGGGACCTTGGAGGTCTTCTAGTCCAACCCCCTGCTCTGGCAGGAAACCCTATACCCGTGATGGTAAACCTATGGCATGTATGCCACAGGTGGCATGTGGAGCCATATCTGTGGGCATATGAGTGTTGCCCTAACTCGGCTCCAGCGCGCTGGCCAGCTGATTTTCTAGCCTTCCGGGCCCACCGGAAATCAGGAAACTGGCCATTTCCGGCTTCCGGGGTGGGGGGAGGCCGTTTTCACCCTCGCCGGGTCCAAGAAAGTCTCTGGAGCCTGGGGAGGGTGAAAACCGGGCCTACCGGGCCCACTGTGCCATTGTGTGCCAAAAGCGGGGGGAGTGCAGGGGGGGTGGTCGTGCATGCACAGGGGGGCACATTGGATTATGGGTGCAGGCATGCGTGCGCGCGACCCCCCCCCCACTCCTCCCACTTTTGGCATGCAACAGCAAAAAGGTTAGCCATCACTGCCCTATACCATTTCAGACAAATGATTGCCCCATCTCTTCTTTAAAAACTCCAGCGATTGAGCACCCACAACTTCTGAAGATAAGCCTCTTGTCCATATTCAATCTCTAGCCATTGATAAAATTGCCCCCATATATTATAATATTCCGATTCTTCCTTTCCTTTCTTTCTAAGAAATTTAGAAAGAATATGTTGTAATAAACTATATTAAAATGTAAAAGCAAAGATGTGTGTGTATCAAGAAAATGGTGGTAAATGTTGAATATGATGACATAAAATTTTGTTCTCAGATGATACACTGATTGAATAACGATGTACCACTTGTTTAAAAATAAAAAGAAAACACTTAAAGAAAACACTTCTGAAGACAAGCCGTTTCACTGATTAATTATTCTAATTGTCAGGAAAGTTGTCCTTAGTTCTAGGTTGCTTCTCTCCTTGATTAATTTTCATCCATTGCTTCTTGACCTGCCTTCAGGTGCTTTTGAGAATAGCTTGACTCCCTCTTTTTGTTGGCAGCCCCTTAGATATTGGAACACTGCTATCATGTCATCCCTGGTCCTTCTTTTCATTAAACTAGACATACCCTGTTCCTGCAACCATTATTCATATGTTTTAATCTCCAGTTCTCTAATCATCTTTGTTGCTCTTCTCTGCACTCTTTCTAGAATCTCAACATCTTTTTTAATATGCAATACTCTTAAGTGTGGTCTTCCTGAGTTTATAAACTCCAGGCCTTTTCCTCCATGCCTTCCCTTCCATAAAAATTGGGCTGTTCTCTTCCCAGCGTTGAGATTGAGAGACATCTGCTACTATAATATAAAAAGATTTGGTCTGACATGAGAATTCCTTTGCAACTTTAGTTCTTATTACACACACACACACACCCCTCTTTTGAAGCTGTGCACAGACTGGATGTTGGCATGCAAGCATCAGTCCATCAAATAAATTCTACGCTTGGTAACCAGTTTTGAATCAGTGTAGCGGGGCTAACCTCTAGAGAAACCATTGTTATCTGTACAGCCGGTGGAAATGCTGTATGCTTATTCCTAAGGGTACTTGATGCACATAACAGTCTTCTCTTCCTCCTAGAGTTTCTTTGAAGGCTGGGATGCTTCAAAGAAGAAAGAAAAGACCAAAGGGAGACAAGATCACATGCCTACCTGTAAGTGTCTGAGACAAAAACCTTTCTCTATAAGAAGGAAACAAAGAAAAATCAATATCCTTCCTTTAATGCTAGTAGAGTTGAAATGCCCTGAAACTCTGCAGAGTTTGCACAATATGGATTTGGTTTGGGTCTTACTCTGATCTTGATTTGTCAAATTTACAGCAGGTAGATTTTGATCTGGTATTGATTCCATTTGCAAAAACAATCACATGAAAATATTCAAGTGAGGATGGAGCACTGGGATAGGATGGGGTGCCTATTTCCCAGTTGCCACCACATTTGTCAGAGAAAAGGACTATGCATAAAAAAAAACCCCGTTACATCATGGAAATTCCAAATGATTTGATAAGAACCATTAGATATCTTAAGGGTTTTCCGATGAGACTGGTCTATCAGGGCAACCTGGTCTACCCAAATATGGGATGGAGCATACTGCTTCCGCTTTGGCTAGCTGATGGGAGCTAAATAGCTTGAAGTAGATCTATGCTAGTCTCCCTTTATTTCTTTGTCGGTAAATATAAATTTAACACATTAAGGTAAAGGTAAAGGTTCCCCTCGCACATATGTGCTAGTTGTTCCCGACTCTAGGGGGCGGTGTTCATCTCCATTTCAAAGCTGAAGAGCCAGCACTGTCCGAAGACGTCTCTGTGGTCATGTGGCCGGCATGACTAAACACCAAAGGCTCATGGAACGCTGTTATCTTCCCACCAAAGGTGGTCCCTATTTTTCTACTTGCATTTTTTATGTGCTTTCGAACTGCTAGGTTGGCAGAAGCTGGGACAAGTAACGGGAGTTCACCCCGTTACGCGGCACTAGGATTTCGAACCGCTGAACTGCTGACCTTTTGATCGACAAGCTCAGCGTCTTAGCCACTGAGCCACCGCCTCCCTTTATTACATACATTATATATATTATTATATACATTAGATATCTAGAAATAATAATAGCAGGAGAAGGATCCAAGAGGTTGTAGTTCTCCACTTACAACCATTCCTTTAGTGACCGTTCAAAACTACAACAGCTCTGAAAAAATCCCATAGGATCATTTTTCACACTTACTGTTGTAGACATCTTTTTTTGTATGCAATGCTCCAAGTGTGGTCTTACCAAGGTTATAAACTCCGGGCCTTTTCCTCCCTGCCTGATCACATGATCAAATTTCAGGTCCTTGGCAACTAGCATGTATTTATAATGGTTGCAGTGTCCAGTGGACATATGATCACCTTTTGCGACCTTCCTACAAGCAAAGTTAATGGGAAAGCCAGATTCACTTAACAACCATGTTACTAATGTAACATCTGCAGTAATTCACTTAACAACCGTGGCATGAATGGTCATAGAATGGGGCAAAACTCACAACAATAGTCTTGCTTAGCAACAGAAATGTTGGGCTCAATTGTGATCACACATCAAGGAATACCTGTAGATAGTTGATCGTTTTTTTTTTTTACAGACAAAGTGGTATTAACAATAATGCACACTTTGTATTTGCTCTGTTCCCAAATTCCAGCTGAATAAGTGTATCCCGGGCCTTCAAGTATGCCCACACACTTGCCTTGATATTCTTTAAGCTGCATTTCTCCTCTTCTTTTATTTCACTGGATTTTGAATGAAAAAGGAGGCTAGAATGCTGCAAAGAAAAAGGCTAGCCTCAACTATAAACTTTTTACCTCAGCAATTATTCTGTGTTTCTCATCTGTCCTGGAGGCATTCCTGAGAAATAAAAATAATGGGGAGGGAAAGATTTGCATTCCACATCTGTCTTGTTATGAAAAATGCAGTGCTGATTTGAAATAGAAAATCTCTATCTCTACTGTATATGAGCTGCAAAAATCCAGACAAACGCTAAATTGCAGCAAAGAGTTAGAGATTTATTTATGGACTTCTCTGACCTACATACCTGCTCTGGGTCTTGTAACTGGAGATACTTCGAGGTGTTAAATTAACATGACTTGGATAGCATGATAGAAGAAATGGGGCTGAAATGATACTGGTATCTTAATTCCTACAAGGGTTGAGGGCTTGATTTCATTTGGATTTCATTTTAATTCAGTACCGGGTAAATATATTGGGGTTTCCAAAGAAACCCCTTTTCTTTGAAGACATTTCGCTTCTCATCCAAAGAAGCTTCTTGGATGAGAAGCAAAATATCTTCACAGAATAACAAGAAAGTCCGGTTGCCTCTTGAAAAAGCACCTTTGGGACAACCATGACCTGGATGACTGAGAATCTCCATAGACATATATCAGGGTTCACTAATGGATGAGGTAGAACATATTTTCAGAAAAGTTGCAGGCCTGGAGCATGATAAGATTCCACTGTGCAACAAGCCATCATTACGATCTCCTTTAAATAGGACATGCTCTTTGTGGGTGCAGGTGGTTGAAGTCCCAGATTTCACTAAACCGCAGAGTAGCTTGCTTGAACCTAATCACTATGCACTCTAAACCATGATTAATAAGTTAGGATGTTGTGCCTTGGATCATACCACTTGGTTAAAGCAAACCATGGCTTAGTATGATATAACTCAGCTTGTGCAAGGCAATAAGAGACATCAAATGATGATAGTGTTTGGTATTCAATGCATTTTTTAAAAAAATAGTTAAATGAGTAACCAGGGATATCCTCTCTCTCTGGGGACCGGAAGGATGAATGCAATTTATTGTGAATTTCTGCTATAAAATACCTCCTCCAGCAGCTGCTTTTTCTTTGCCACGCTGGCTATTTTTATTGCTCCTAATTATAGCTGTCTATCTGCTGTTTTCCAAATTGAAATTCCATGTTATCACAGAGACAAAAAAGAGAGAGAGAGGGAGGAGAGGGAGAGGGAGAGAGAGAGCAAAATTGTTCAAAATAACTTAGGCAAAGCCAAGCACCAATTTTTACTCCACTCCCTAGCCAGCTTTTCTGGAAAGAAGGGCTAAAGGGAGCACATTGGCTGTTGACCTAATAGCACAAGGGTTGTTTGTCTTTCTGCTATGTGTTGGACAAAATGGCACATCTCATTTTGACGCTGTCCTTCTCTTCCACTCTGCCACAGTAATGGTGCAGACTGGCATATATCTAATCTTGCTCTGGGTGGGAGTATATATTCTTATGGGACATATGCTGCATTGCATCTCAGTTTGTGTTGCTCTAACAGCGAAGCATATGGATTTTGCAGAACAAATTAGTGGGCGAGAGAAAGAGAGGTACTTCAGGATGAGCGAAGCTGGCTGAAGGGGGTGTAACTGTAAGATCTGATGCTCAGCGGAAGGTACATTACAGGAGAGCAGAAGCAAAAACATCCTGTTGTTATCCTTACTCTTCCTGCGAATCCAAGTATGACTGTTAGCTCAGAAGAGGCATTCCCTCGGAAGTCTGAGGGGTCATTATGAAGCCTCTTAAGAAGAATCCTGCTGTGTCCTTAGCATTTGCAGGTTCAATGACTGATGCAACCCTCCTCCAACTGGAGATTAGGTTGCCAAATGTGACACAATTCAAAGATGAGAAGCCATCAGTTGGCTGGGAAGATTCCTCAAATTCTGAAGAAATATTAAGGTCTCTCTCAAAATATGCTCAGTGCTAAGAGAAGGATTATTGTGTGTGGTTGATGATGATGATGAAACCCATGATGATATACAACTCAATAAAAATAAAATATGTAACCCTAGATTCAGATTATAACCCAAATGTCAAGTAAAATAACATGTTTTTACTTGCTACTTAAGCCTTGATAAGATGGAAGCCAAGTCTGTAGAGATTCTCAGTCATCCAGGTCATGGTTATCCAAAGGTGCTTTTTCAGGAGGCAACTGGACTTTCTTGCTTTTTCTTCTGAAGATGTTACACTTCTCATCCAAGAATCTTCTTCAGCTCTGACAGGATAGTCCTTCCATTCCCCACTATCCTGTCAGAGCTGAAGAAGCTTCTTGGATGAGAAGCAAAACATCTTCAAATGAAAAAACAAGCAAGTCCAGTTGCTTCCTGAAAAAGCACCTTTGGAATGGAACCAAGTGTTGTGTCCTGGGAAAGTATTTGTGGTGGAATGTAATCTGGATTCCCAGGAAGAGGGGTTGCATCCCAGAGGATCAAATTTAAATGATTTGGGTCAAGATAGCTCCTTCCCATAACTTCTCAGAGTATATCTTTAAAGAGCAAATAGTTGCTGTAATTCGGCCAGATATCTGCCTATACTTGAGGAACAATAAAGAACACTGTTTAGAAGCAACAGTGTGTACCTTTCTTGTTTTTTTGAAGCCTGACATATATCAATCTATTAAAGAAATATAATTAAAGGGATTTCTACATCAAATTGAATGGATTAATAAGTGACAAAGTGTGAGACTACAAGTCAGATTAGAGTATTTTTGTAATTTTCCACAGTGGATTTTTGGAAGAACTGTTGAGTGGCAAGCCAACATTCACAAATCCTACTAGAAAATGTAGAAAGTGAACTTTACTGCTGGAGTCTTTGAATCCCATCTTTCCACCTAACTAGAATTTCTAGAAATTTACTGAAGGGAGGAAGGGGAAACCATTTGAATTTGATATATGAGAATATAAAGATTTCCCAATGCTCTTCTGCCTATTCTGCCCTAACAGTTATATCTGATTTTGTTTCCAGATGACCGACATCGGGTTAAGCTCCATCCACTTCTTGGTGATCCCAACTCTGACTATATCAATGCCAACTACATTGATGTAAGTATGTCAGCTTCTCTTGCTTTTGTTGTGCATTTTTTTTGCCTTAGGAATGTATTTGGTTGTGTAATGCAGAATGTTGTTTCTCTTTTGTTATACCCCAAGTCTCTGTTTCATATATGCATCGTTAGAACTCTCTTTTTCCTACTCCTTCCTCCTTTTCATGCTATATCTATTCCTGTTCACTTTTGGAATCCTCTTTTGTTCATTCGCACAAGAATGAAATCTTATAGGGCAGGAATAAATCAGAAGATTAAAAGGATATGCAGTATATAATTAAAAGATGAGTGAAAGATGAATGAAGGCTGTGAAAGTTGTACCATAAGAAAGGCTGAGCGCCAAAGAATTGAGGCCTTTGAACTATGGTACTGGAGAAGATTCCTGCGAGTTCCTTGGACTGCAAGGCGATCAAACCGGTCAGTCCTAGAGGAGATCAACCCTGACTGCTCTTTAGAAGGCCAGATCCTGAAGATGAAACTCAGATATTTTGGCCACCTAATGAGAAGGAAGGACTCACTGGAGAAGAGCCTAATGCTAGGAACGATTGAGGGCAAAAGAAGAACGGGACGGCAGAGAAAGAGGTGGCTGGATGGTGTCACTGAAGCAGTTGGCGTGACCTTAAATGGACTCCAGAGGATGGTAGAAGACAGGAAGGCCTGGAGGAACATTGTCCATGGGGTCGCGATGGGTTGGACACGACTTTGCAACTAACAACAACAATATAATTAAACCATCCATGTGTCTCAAGGGATGAGCTTGTTTTCCAAAGCAACCCTTAGATTAACTTGGATGTCCCCCATGTTCTTCCTGATGAAAATAATTTTTAAAACACTAGTAACTTTACTGAAATAATATCAACAACCACATCAAGTCACAGAAGCACATGGATGGAAACCCTGTGTCCCAGAATTAACGTTAGAAATTATTTGATTTTTGGAAATAATGCTGTCACTAGAATAAGGAAAAAAATTGATTGATGAATGCCATCGCTAGTCCAAAATATTGGAAAGCCCATGGATATTGGAAGGTTTTGTCAATGTTTGAGTATCTGTATTTGACATATAATGACATTTGGGGTTCAATATATAAATTTACATTGTTATTTGATTTTGTTAATTAATGTATCATAAACATTTGATTATCTGGATGCAATCCTTTCTACTCTTGGATAGTGTTTTGCTGAACAAGTGTTAAATCCTGTCTGCTGACATCAAAGAAGGATGATGTTTTAGAAGTTCTCAGTTTTCAAAGGTCACATTGAGCGTTCACATTTCAGATTCAAAATGCAAATAGTCAAAAGGAGACAACGTTCAAAAGTACACTTTAAATGTTTCTGAATGAGAAAGTTCAATGAGTCATATTAAACCCATCATTCTTTCCTGTTGCTGCTGCTCCTTCTCTACCCATCAGTGTTGCTCTTTAATGCACCTCCTTTACTAATGGGTCTATTCTTCCTTTGCTCTTGTCTCGCTAATCTGTCTGTCTCTGATTTCTTTTTCCTCTCAAACCTGTGGGCTTGCTAAGATTCGGATAAACCGAGAAGTAAGTATATGTCGTGTCCTTCTCATTCTTTCCCATTTCTCCTCCAAACAAGATTCCATAATTGTTCATTTTGGAGCGAAGGGACTTTCCTACCTCAACCCACCCCACCACAACAGTTACTATTTCATCATTTTATTTATCTATTTATCTATCTATCTATTTATCTATCTATTTATCTATCTATTTATTTATTTATTTATCTATTTATCTATTTATCTATTTATCTATCTATCTATCTATCTATCTATCTATCTATCTATCTATCTATCTATCAAATGTGTATAAGGTTACAGATATAAATATAAACATGATTATGAATACAGGATAAGGATATGAATAAATGGGGACAGTAGGACAGGGACGGTAGGCATGTTGGTGTGCTCATGCATGCCCCTTACCTCTTAGGAATGGGGTGAGGTCCACGGTAGACAGTCTAAGGTTAAAATTATGGGGGTTTGGGGAAGAAACCACAGAGTCAGGTAGTGCATTCCAGGCATTGACCACTCTGTTGCTGAAGTCGTATTTTCTGCAATCGAGTTTGGAGCGGTTTACCTTGAGTTTGTATCTACTGTGTGCTCTTGTATTATTGCGGTTGAAGCTGAAGTAGTCATTGACAGGTAGGACATTGTAGCAGACAATTTTGTGTACTACACTTAAGTCATACCGAAGGCGGTGTAGTTCTAAGTTGTCTAAGCCCCAAAATTTCAAGCCTGGTGGTATAAGGTATTCTGTTGTGAGCAGAGGAGTGGAGTACTCTTCTCGTGAAACACCTCTGGATTCGCTCAATTGTATTAAAGTCCGATATACAGTGCGGATTCCAGACAGATGAGCTGTATTCGAGAACTGGTCTGGCAAAGGTTTTGTATGCCCTAGTTTACAGAACAATATTACTGGAGAAGAAGCTTTGCAAGATTAGGTTAACAACTCTTAATGCCTTTTTGGCAATGCTGTTATGGTGAGCTCTGGTGCTTAGATCCTTTGAGATGAGTACTCCAAGGTCCTTGACAGAGTGAGGGTCATCTACAACGTCCATGGCTGTTTTTGATGGTGGATTTTATGTACTGTGGTCTGAAACGGCAGGTCCTTAAAAGTTTGTCTTGTTTCCTTGGTGGTTCTCTTTTCAAAATGTCTGGCTCCGTTGTGCAGACGTGGATGTCCCTTGTTGAAAGGACACTTGCCTGAACAAAATTGTAGAGCTAAGAGACATGGGTTTAGGCCAACCAGGCACTGTGGATGAAGAAGGTGACAAAAATAATTACTGATATATGAAGTAGGATGTTGGGCTCTCAAGTGACAAACATGTCAGAACAGTCTATAGGGCAGTTTGCATTTCATCTATCATTGCCGTTTCAATGGCCGCCGCCCCCACCACCGGATCAAAGATCTCCCTCTGACCTTTCAAGGAACTTGCCTGTTCCTCTTGGTCTTCCAAGCCGCTTCTCTTTCTCCCCCATCCCTCCAAGACGGTTCCGGTCCGAAGACCTCCCGACAGCGGTTTGTCAGGCTGGGTTTTCGCGAAGCTCATTGGAGCTTTGCTATTTCCCAGCCAGTATCGCCGTGACGCTTCCGGTTTCTCTGTTTCCAAATGTTACTGTGTTCACCTTACAACATCTTTTCCAGCTGTCCTAGAACAGGTGCACAGAAACATCAGGACTTTTTGCACCTGCCAGGTGAAGTAAGTCCATCGGGCAATTACTAACATGTAGTTAAATTCTCCTATTGGAAGCAAGGAAATCCAAGGTGCTAAATTTGGGACATTTTTGTCCTGGTGGAGCCCTGGTGGTATAGTGGTTCAAGTGCAGTATTGCAGGTAAACTCTGCCCACAGCCTGGCGTTCGATCCTGACAGGGCTCAAGGTTAACATAGCCTTCCATCCTTCCATGGTCAGTAAAATGAGAACCCAGATTGTTGGAGGGAATATGCAAATAATGTTTACATAGTAAACCACCCAGAGAGTGCTGTAAAGTGCTGTGGTGTGATAAATGTCTAAATGCTATTGCTATTTATCCTCACCTTTGCCTATCATACAGGGACATTGTATTGTATTGTGTTGGGTCTATTTGCATGATATGTGTCCTTGGGCTTAAATCGAGATATTTGAAAAACTAAGCCCCTGCTCTGCCTCCTTCTTTTCCATACTTTGTAATGTAAGGATAATTGACTGATTAGTTTTACCCGCTTGGATTTTACTCACAATATATTACTAACAACCTCAATTCTCATGCCGTACAGGTGGTATCAGCCTTCCACAAATATTCCACCAGACATTTAGACTGAAATGTTTGTAGTTACCACTGTAATGACTTTCAACAACACTTACACTTTCATTTGTATTTTTTAAAAGCCCAAATAATTGTGCACTTAAAGGTGTTCATGATCATGAAAACAAGTTCTAAATTTAAAAGGTAACCATTTGCAAAATCAGTATTACCATCGACTAAAGGAAATGTTTGTGTGCTCTTGATGTTAGCAATTTAGAAATGCTAAGGCCCCAACTGGTAGACACCCTATATGCTCCATTTTTGCTGGAAGCTTCTGTAATATTTATCCAAACGCTCTCCAGTGATCTCTTTTATTCTGCTCCGGCCTCTGCCTCCTAGCAAGATATCTCCTTTTCCATAGCAACTGAGAGCAAACGGTGGAGATCTGGCTCTTTGTCTTGGCCAGATCTTGCCAAAGACGATAGAACATGGGAAATTATAAGCCATCTGGGAAATCTTAAGCTCTACTATGGAGTCTAAGATCTTCCTGATATGCTCTTGTTTATTGGCCCTTTTCCATCTTTTTCTTGCCTTTGGGCTACTCAGTCGGGAGTTAGCTGTGCACGTGCACTAAATGGCTTAGAACGGCAGTTTCAAACTTAATAACTTTAAGACTTGTGGACTCCCACAATTCCTCAGCCAGCCAGTCCATAAGTATTAAAGTTGTCAAGTTTGGAGACCCCTAGCTTAGAAGAAGAGGAGTGTTCATAGCAGTTCTCAAGGTGTACAGATAATCCTTGATTTATAACCAGGGGTGGGCTTCAAAAATTTTAGCAAGAGGTTCTCTGCCCGGTTGCTGGGTGGGCATAGCCATGGTGGGCGTGGCCTAGTTGGCCTCCTGTACCGTGGGGGGGGGGCTTTTTGCCCTCCCTGGGCTCCGGCAGCTTTTCTCAAGCCTTGGGGAGGGTGAAAATGGCCTCCCCAGGCTCCAGAAGCCCTCTAGAGGCTGGAAACAAGCCCGTCCCAAACTTCTGGTAAACCCATTTTTCACCCTCCCCAAGTCTCCACATGTGCCCTGCACTTACCTGCATCCAAAACAGACCGTGTGGGGACTCCTGGAAGGGGCGGGACTGAGTGGGCGGGGCCAGCCAGGAGTGGGATTTGGGAGTTCTCCGAACTGCACAGAATCTTAGCTAGAAATTCTTCCGAACCTCTGCGAACCCCCAGCAGCCCACCCCTTGCTTACAACCATAACTGGAGCCAGAATTTCTATTGCTAAGCAAGGTCATTGTTAAGTGAGTCACATCTGATGATGTTTTTTTTTAATGACAGTCATTAAGCAGATCGCTGTAGTTCAGTGAATTGTGTGGCTTGTTAAGCAAATCCAGCTTCCACTATTGATTGTGCTTGGAATCTAGCTGGGAAGGCTGCAAATAGCAAACACATCATCCCGAGATACTGCAACCATCATAAATACATGCCAGTTGCCAAGTGTCCAAATTTTGATCACATGACCCTGGGGAATGCTGTGACGGTCATAAGCACGAGAACCAGTCATAAGTCGCTTTTTTCCAGGACCGTTGTAACTCTGAACAGTTGCTACATGGAATGGTTGTAAAACGAGCATTAATTGTAATGACTTCTCTGTGTCGTGGTGCAACACGTAGTGTTCTTGAGCTGTGATTTGCTTCTGCTTTTAATTACTCATCCCAACGGCCTGTGTATTGTGGGATGAATGCGTACAGTTTCCCTACAGATGATTTGAGGTTCAGTACCATATGTTGAAGCCCTGTGTTGAGTGGAGCCCTGCATGCATAGTTGTGTTTGAAAATATTTCCGTGCTTGCTAGAACAAGGATATGCAACTATGGATCAGAGAATACATTTGGCATGACAGAGTAGTACGGTAGTCTCCCTCATTAAAGTAGGGAGTTGTTTCAGAATAATCATTATATACGCTATGAGTGAGATGGGTGGAATCTAATTTGATTTTAAAAGATTGACAAGTTGCTACTTAGTAGTAGAAGCTCTGGGAGGTAAAGCTTATTCCCAGGATTTTTGGGGAGGCTGTAGAACAGGGGCTGGATCCGGCCCATGGGGTACTTAGATCTGGCCCGCGGGGCCGCCCTGGAAACAGCAAGCCCACAGTGCTTCTGCCAGCAAAAATGGGTTCCCGAGCTCTGTTTTCACTGGCAGAGGGTTGCAGGAGGCTGTGGCAGCTGAAAATGGAGCTTGGGAGCCTGTTTTGACTGACAGAGTGCTCAGGCCACCGCTGGCGCACCCGACAGGAGTGACGTCGAGCTGGCCACACCCCCTGGCCACTCCCCTCCAAGGTCAAACACAACCCTGATGCGGTCCTCAATGAAATCGAGTTTGACACCCCTGCTCTAGAACCTCTGGTTAACCAGCTCAGCCTGGAAAATGCTGCCATAAGGAAGATGTCCACATTGCTCTCCTAAAAGCAACATGCATTTCCTTCTAGCTTTTCTAGGGTGAAGTTGATGAGGTATTTATTGGACCTCAGAGCAACCCATTCTGGCTGTATTAAATAGCTCTTGGCTATAAGTGTGATGTGAGGAGGAGGAGAAAGTGTCTACCTTTGTACCAAAGAGAAAGACAGATGGTTGCAAAGGAACTGCTAGTGGATACATATTGGATGTGAATTGTGCATCAATTATGAAAAGTGTACTTTGAGGAGACTGTTTGGAAATACTCGTTCTATGGTGAGACATGGAAGCTACCAATGGTGCTTAGGGTTTGGAAGATATTTTGGTTGAGACACATTGCTTAAACAGAAATCAAATGGGACATTATCTTCCTTGCCTGTACCCAGTGATGGGATCCTGCCAGTTTAACAACCGTCGTTACTGCTGGGTAGTAACACAGCTGATCGCGTGGCAATCCACTCTGCCGCGCGAATCAGCTGAGAAGATATAGGTCAGTAAAGCGCAGGGACGGGCAGGCAGCCCCAGCTGATCATTGGAGTGAACCGGTTCGCTCCCAGCTGATCTTCGGAGCTACCGGCTTGCCCAAACTGGTCTGAACCGGTAGAATCCCACCCCTGCCTGTATCCCATCTTAAAAGTTTGTAGATTTTGGAATAACTGTTGAAGGAAGAAAACAAGAGGTTTCAACTTTCAGAGTAGCAGACCTTGGGGCATATAAAAATAGATAAAACCAACCTTCCTTCCTTCCTTCCTTCCTTCCTTCCTTCCTTCCTTCCTTCCTTCCTTCCTTCCTTCCTTCCTTCCTTCCTTCCTTCCTATAATGCATATTTTTTTTTCTTTACAGGGTTACCAAAGGTCTAACCACTTCATAGCCACACAAGGTAAGATCTTCATGCCTACTACTTGGATATGGCTTTTTAGCATGCTTTCTCCTTTTTTCCCCTTCCAATTTTTTTTTTTTTTTTTTGCATATATGGAAAGAAGACAGCACAAGAAGATGTGCTGAATACCAAGATGTGCCCAAAACATTTCATGCTCAAGCTTCTTCAGTGCATTACAAAAATATCCAAAACTGCTTTGAGATTATATATTGGGTAAAATATCCCGGGGTGGCGCAGTGGTTAGAATGTAGTATTGCGGGCAAACTCTGCCCACAGCCAGGAGTTTGATCCTGGCCGGCTCAAGGTTGACTCAGCTTTCCATCCTTCTGAGGTCAGTAAAATGAGGACCCAGATTGTTGAGGGCAATATGCTGACATCTATAAATGCTCAGAGAGTGCTGTAAAGCACTTTGGGATGGTATATAAGTCTAAGTGCTATTGCTAAAATAACCATGGGTCCCTGACTTTCTTTAACTCTGTTTCAATCTTTTTTTTTGGACTTTTTCTCTGTGCTCTAGGCCCCAAACAGGAGATGGTCTATGATTTTTGGCGGATGGTGTGGCAGGAACACTGTTCCAGCATAGTGATGATAACAAAGCTGGTAGAAGTGGGAAGAGTAAGTGATGGTTGTCGGTTTCCTCTTCACCAGTGGCTTCAGATGATGCTTACCTCTTCCACAATAGATTTAACCATAATCTGGTTTATTGTTGCATGCAGGTTAAGTGTGCCAAGTATTGGCCAGATGACTCAGAGATGTATGGAGACATTAAAATTACCCAGATGAAATCAGAGACTCTGGCAGAATACGTGGTGAGGACATTCGCCCTGGAAAGGGTAAGATTTGCAAGGATATCCCTCTGTCTATAAACGTGTTTTATTTTATCCACGTTAATATTTATTTAATTTATTTGTAGGTCTTATATGGACTATCTCATATATGACTCTAGGCAGCACATAATAATGTAACTACATCAGGACCTTCATCTTCTTCCTTCTCTTATTTTATTCAAAAACACCCATTCTAAAAATGATTTAAAAGAAGCCCTGAAATATGTTTGGCAGTGGGTAAAAATATTTTTAAAAATAGCATTCGTTTGGTAGAGAATTAGTAGTTTGAATATAAGAGATATATGATTTATTTGATGATTGAACATATAATCATAAATACAACTGCAAGTTGGTGCCAGCGTTTCTCAATCTTAGCAAGATGTATGGACTTCAACTCCCAGAATTCCTGCAATGTATATGGGAATGACCTCAGGAGATGGGTGAAGAGAGGTAACCAAGGGAGCAGTCAGATAAAAAACAGTTTAGCCTGCAGCAGGAATGGGGGTGGGACAAGTGGCTCAGAAGGGACCCTCCCTAGTTCTTGGGCTATAAAAACAATGGGTAGGAGGTATTTACTATCAGATTAGCAGGATTCTGCATAGGTAGGGAATTCTGGGAACTGAAGTCTATATATTTTAAAATTGCTGAGGTTGAGAAAGACTGCTTATAAAGAATTTAAGCTAGGCAAAGCCCCTGATTATGATTTGACTCTTATAGCAATAGCACAGAAGCATGTGCGCGCGCTCCCATTGCAAACCAGTAGTAAAGGTAAGTAGAACCCACCCCTGAATAGCACTTAGACTAATATACCTCTTTCCAGTGCTTTCCAGCCCTCTTTAAGCAGTTTACAGAGTAAGCATCTTGCCCCCAACAATTTGGGTCCTCATTTTACCGACCTCAGAAGAATGGAAGGCTGAGTCTGGTGAGATTCGAACTGCCAAATTGCAGGCAGCCAGCAGTCAGCAGAAGTAGCCTGCAGTACTGCACTCTAACTACTGCGCCACCTTGGCTCATACCATTAGTTTACTTAGTATAGTAGGCAAATTTTATGCCGGATATACTATACATGGATAAAACTACAAGTAGAACAAAAAAGCATCTTAATAGGTGAATAAGATTATCAACACTCAGTCGGCGTTTGGTTCTAAGCCATCTAGTGAAAAAAATAGAGCTCCTTTCTAAACAAAAAACAGTATTTTTTGTCTTTGTAGATTTCGAGTCAGCATTTCATCCATTCTCAAAACAGAGAAATTACAGGAGACAGGTGTTGATAATGCCTCTTTCTATTAATACATAATTTGTTTGTTGATATTGAATGTAATAGTCAAGGCTAGCTGTCAGACAGGATCCCTAATTGAAAAGATGTCAAGCAAGGTTGCTTGTAAGACTCGTCGTTGTTTAACACACCACACACAGAGACAAACATACATACATTCTTTAATTACCAATCTTGCCTCTTGGCAGACGTATTATCACCCATGTTGTCTAGTAGGCCAACCACTCTCTAATTTTGCTTTTTTGATTTCACAGACATGAGTGGACCGAGGAGAATGTTAAGGGCTCTGGTTTCCTATTGTACAGAAGATATGCTGAATACAAACTTGTCTAAAATTAAGGATATCGTTTTTGCCAAGGGACTGATTAAACACAGGTGGCAGATTAACAGACAGGCAATAGAGCCAAGGGGGTTGTTATAAATATTGGGAGAACTTTTTCATGCACAATTGCCATATCTAATGAATAATGCTGAAAACACTGCCTCGGCCAACCTGAAATTTGATTGTGGAATTGGTGACTTCCATATTGCTTCAGCGCTAAATGTTTTTAATGCCACAGGTGTACTGTTGTTGCTGTATGGGGTTATGTTTAGAAAAGAACCTAGAGGTTGTCAAAATAATTCTCTGAATGCTCTATTCTTCCCCAAAATGCGTTGCAAACACCATAATTAACTTGGAAGTAGCGCAGGCCTCTGGGAGGCTATAGCCTAGATCTGCTGGATGGGGAATTCTGGGAATTGAAGTCCTCCAGGCGTAAAGTTGCCAAGGCTGGAGACCCCTGGCCTAGATTATAGTGATCCCCTTAAATTAATGATCACCTTAAATTAATATTTTTAGCAGGAAACCTAGCCATGCTTATTTTTTCTGTTCATATGGACGGCTGTTTCTTGATATGAATATATTGGTAAGATTTGATCTCTTCCCTAGTTGCTGAGCATATCTGGGATTTAGAAGACTAGAGAAATGGATTGTGTATGTAAATTTGATAGGTAATGCAGCCAGTTACTATCAGATTCCATCTTTTTTCCTCCAGGGTCTCAGAAGTCAATAAGCCTACTTTCATTAGCTTGTTTTGATATGTTGCTGACAGTAATGGAAGGGATGTGTGTGTTTCCAAAACATACCCGTGAAAGGTTGTATCATCCCTTGTGTACTGATAGAAGAGAATATTTGTATTCAGAGTTCAACTCCAGTGTCCTTTGTGGTCGTTTTCTTGCAGACATTTCATTGACAAACTACAGTAGTGGCCAAAATTGTGGAATCCTTTTGGGAAAAGTGTATTTTCTAAAACTAGCTAATATCACCACATTTTTGGGGGAGTGGTACCATAAAATTATATATCAGTGGAAAGATAATTTAATCAAGAATGTAATGCGATAACTTTTATGAAGGATTTGCTATTAGAATAGCAGTTACAGTATAAAGAAGAAAAGTGAAACACGTAGAAAAAACAAGATATACAAAAATGATCACCATAGAACAAAACAAGATATACAAACATTATCATCATGTCAGTTAATATTTAGTTGGGTAGCCTTTAGCATGAATTACGGCCTTACAATGCCTTCCGGTGGAAGTCTTTGAGTTCTGCAGCTGTTATCATGTGAAACCAAGATTGAACGATTGCTTCTATTAACTGGGTTTTATTGCTGGGTGGCTTCTGACTAACAAGTTTCTTTAGTCGGCTCCATAGATTTTCAATTGGGTTAAGGTCTGGGCTCTTCCCAGGCCATTCCAGCAGTGGAATAGGATTATCTTGAAACTCCAAAAAAAAAAAAAGTGGCGTTATTAGCCATCAAACCTCAAAAATACACTTTTCCCAAAAGGTTTCCACAATTTTGGCCACTACCGTAGTTAATCAATGCATTGATGGTGTTATCTAGTTTGGGAATGAAACATCTGCAAGAACCCAGCCAAGCTGAGAGAGACTACCAGCTGCCCTAGTGTGTTTGATCTAGGACAACCCATAATCCACTTTTTTTCTATGGGGCTGAAAATAGACAGAGGACTGCTCTTATGGTTCATCTTCTAGTTGAGCTCTCAAGGTATACCGGTGACTTTTATGCGTTTTAGCTGTTAGCAGATAGACGTATCCATCCCACCGATAAAGATTTGCTGTGTTTTGTGCTAAATTGTGATCTTCAAAGACAACCAATTGTCTGTTGCTGAATGCAGTCAGTGGTTTGCCATCATTTTTATCCTTTTACTTTGAATTCAGTTTTAACTTTTATTCAGTCTATTTTATTTCCTACCTTTTACGTGTTGAATCTATACACTTTTGATAATGCTGGTTTTGCAACCGTAATAAAAAGAAATGAATGCGATGTCAAAAGAACATGTTTTTTTTCTGTATTCAAACTGTTGCTTGGAGATCTTGCATCAGTCGTGTTCTTTCTTCAGACAGGGATCATTCAATTGTGGGCGAGCTGCCTTGACAAACTTTTCCCCCTGAAGGAACGGCAAGAGCCAAAGCTTTAATGTAAAAGATTGCAAGAAGGGAAGGCTTAATGTAAAATAGACAAACCGTTCTTGGTTCAGTGAACACATTTGGAGTTTTGAAAGACGGCCGTCTCTCTATTCTTATAAAAGGGGCTATCATGAGAGCTCTTTCTGTTCACAGAATGACTTCCATGGTAAATGTAGCAAGTCACTGACTGTCCATTTACCAGGGTATCTCAGTAAAATGGTAGAAACATGGCAGACCTACCTGGAATTGGAAGCTAAGTAGGCCAGATCTGGATAATATTTGGGTAGCAGACCACTAAGATACCACTAGAAAATTCCAGGTGTCAAGCCTGAATTTGATTAGGGTGTGGGATTGTTTGTATCATTGGGTATTCTGACATGAATTCAGGTTGACACAGTTTGAAGCTGAAGGAGGATAGAGCCTTCTGTCAAAACATCATTTCTAGCCAATGGGTCAACCACATTCCAATGGCTGTTGGACCAGAGGAGGAGGAGAGAAGTCGCCAAGCAACCAGTTCCCATCTTGGTTGGAAAATGTGACAGGTTGTTTTGGGAACTTGAGAAACTGAAACTTACATTGGGGTGAAAAGCCCAGGAACTTCAGTATTGGCTTTTCACCAGTAACGCCGAGATGATGTATCTAAATAAATTTGTTCTTTGAGGAAAAGCAATGCCTTGGAGTTCGATTTGTAATGGGTGCATTACTTGGAGCCTGACACCAGGGCTGTAAACTAATCTGAGAATTCAAGTAAACATTCTCAGAAGTATTCAGCACTCTCATATTACTCCCAAGAAAAATGCATGATTGGGTCCATAGAGATTAGGAGTTGAGCTAGTTAATCTTGAAAATCCTAGCTTCTCAGGTTACTTGCTACTGCTGTTCCTTCTTCCTTCTCACCTTTTGTTCTTCTTTCTTGCAGTTTCAGGTGTATTAAGCCTTTCCCATGGCTTTAACACCACTTTGTTCTCTTTTATACATCCCAAAATGGTGGATAATCCAGTGACGGTCTTGAGACTGCATGAAATGGCCCAGATCTTCTAACACACATTTTAATGTATTAACCTTTCATGTTGATCAGTTTCATGCCATCTGAGCCTTCTTGTATAGCTTTTAGAAACTCCATCAAAGGTCATTGTCTTAGCAAATAATATTGTAGAGTACCCCTTTATTTACATGGACATTCTTGACGGATTAATTTGAGCCTAAGCACCATATTAATTGTACAGGGAATGGATAATCATTTTTTATCTTGTAGACAGAGGTCGCAAAGTTCAGGCAATTATTGAGCAATTATAATTGCTCAACCTTGGGACAACCACAATGGTAATTTGCTTCCCCCTTTCCTTAATCTGGAAAAAATGTTAAATGACAACCTTGTTTCCAATAAAGTACAAAAGAGCCTCAGGGATCTAGTTGCCTTGTAACCATTACAAGGTATTTACTGTAGTTTTCAGTAGAAGGAGACCTTAATCAGGGATCTGGGACTTCCCCATCAAAACTACTGAATCTAGTAATGAGGAAACCTGGAAACGGGTAATCTTCTGAGCATATTAAATTTGCCTGACAGCAGCTCAGCAAGAATGCATTCTATCATAGTAATGATAAGTGATTTAGGATGCAATGCACAAAGCAGAACAGAGAGCACGACCTTCAGTCCTGGAATAAGCCCATTTTTGTGATTAAAATTCATTTCTAGTTGTATTTCTTGTTCCAGTTTTCCTCCGGTGACCTCAGAAGGGCCGATGTGGTTCTCTCAAATCCTCACTTCAATCTGGCAAACCAGATGAACCATCTCCCCCGATTTCCCTGATTCTGTTTGAGAGATTACAATAAGAACACAACTATTTTCTGGATTGCATCCCCCAAAGTGAAGAAGGCATGACACATTGTATTCTTCCATGCTGGATTCAATGCCATAATGCGCTGGTAATCTACTGCCTGTCATCACAAGTAAATTGTAGCCTCCATAATTACACTTGCCACAGGTGAAGCTAGAAAGCACCAGAAGGTTTCCTTTGCATCAACAACCAGAACTTCATTTGCCTTTGATAATTAAACAAGATCAATTTAGTTTAGAGTGCGTTGGGCATTTTCTTTGAAGTAGTAGTTAACTTCGTTCGCTGTGAATTTAATTTTATCTTCTGGGTTTTAAAAACCTGGCAGTTCCAATCTGCTGGCTCCTGCTAAATAACTTTGCCTTCGACTTGATTGTGAAAATTCCTCTGTAGTTGAGATAGATTTTCTTTTTCTTAATGGCCTTTGCCAAATATGATCAAAGCAAGCTGTTTGTACAGAAGGTGCAGTTTGAACTTATACTGGTATAAATTGGAAGAGGAGGACGACTGGAATATCCTAATTTAAGGAGGAGTATGGTTCAGAGATACAGTTTGGTGTAGTGATGAGAGCATTAGTCTAGAAACTGAGAGATTGCATGAATTCTACTCACAATTCTAGCAGCCCTGGTGGCGCAGTGGTTGGAATGCAGTATTACCGACTAATTCTGCCGATGCCAGAAGTTCAATCCTGACCAGCTCAAGGTTGACTCAGCCTTCCATCTTTCCAAGGTCGGTAAAACAAGGACTCAGATTGTTGGGGGCAATATGCTGACTCTGTAAACTGCTTAGGGAAGACTGTAAAGCACTATGAAGCTTTAAGAGCTAATGTATTGCTATTGCTACTCCTGGGTGCAAAGCTACCTGTGTCAACACCTGTCTCTCAGCCCTAGGAAGCAGAGGAAGGAAGGAAGGAAGGAAGGAAGGAAGGAAGGAAGGAAGGAAGGAAGGAAGGAAGGAAAGAAAGAAAGAGGATCAAATCAACCAATAGCTTTTCTGGCATCAACAGTGCAGATAGTTTTATTCTATTAAGAACACTGTGTGTTCTCTCTCTCTCTCCCTCTCTCTCTCTCTCTCTCTGTCTCTGTCTGTCTCTCTCTCTCTGTCTGTCTCTGTCTGTCTCTCTTTCTGTCTCTGTCTCTGTCTCTCTCTGTTTCTCTCTCTCTGTCATAATTATCTTGGCAACATTTTCAGAAGTGGTTTGCTACTGCTTTGTTCTTAGGGCTGAGAAACTGGTCCAAGGTTACATGACTGGCGTTATGCCTAAGGCAGGTCTAGAACTCCCAGTCTCCCAGTTTTTAGTCTGGTGCCAGACCACATATAAGATTGTCCTCTATCTCACTCTCATTACTTGCAGAGGGGCTATTCAGCAAGGCATGAAGTAAAGCAGTTCCACTTCACGTCATGGCCAGAACACGGGGTACCCTACCACGCCACGGGGCTGCTGGCATTCATTCGCAGAGTCAAAGCTTCTACACCTCCTGATGCAGGACCCATAGTTATTCACTGCAGGTATGTCCAAGAATCATAGTTGTTAATTTTGTGGTTGTTTTGGTCCATATATATATATATATATATTTCATCACAGAATGTGGGAAAATGCACATTTTAATGGGGATATGTGAAAAGTTTTAGTCAGAAAATGGCCTTATAATGAGCAGGATCACAAAGGAAGTATGCCATCATTTTAATGGGAGAATAGTGTGGCAAGCCACTAATCTCAGATTTCTCCAATGCACTATTGGGCATCGCTGAATGGAGTCTACTCTTTTTTTAAAGTTTTTTTTAATTTTTTTTTAAAGTTTTTACAGATATATCAAATCAATGTGTGAACAGTGTGGCAACTGGGTGTCCAACATTCTAATACAAATAAAAGTAGTAAAATTAATCATAATTATTAGATTCAATCAACTTATATATTTCTAATAATGATACACAATTACAGTAAGTTGCAATCTGTCATTATTCAATTCTCCCATGTTTTCTTTTATTGTTATTTTTGTTTTATTATGTAAAAGAGGATACACTAACATTCCCCCTTCTCTTATTTCTATCACTTATTTCTAACTTTTAATCATATCACCTTTTACTAAAAAAACCATTTTCTTTCTATCCTACCTAAATTCTAATCATGTCACCACCCTAAAAAAAAGGAAAATAAAGAAAATAAAGCAAGAGAAAAGAGAAAGCAAATCAAAACAACACAGAAGAAAAATCATCTATCCATCGTCCCTTGCCCGCTTCAATGCTTTAATTGCTATGCTTTGTCTCTGTGTGTGTGTGTGAGAGAGAGATTTGCCTCCCAAATTCCTCTCCTGGATCCCTATCTCTGTCAGAATCTGCTTCTTGGCTGTTCAATCTAGGTATTTCTCTCACCTCTACCCTCATCCACTGCCTTATTCCCAAAATTTCTGCCCAGGTGTGAATGGAGTCTACTCTTGCTCATCATCCCCTGATTTCAAAATTATTAAAAAATTCCACAAGCACGCCCATCCAAAAAAGGTATCATGCATTTGAAAGATGAATATGGAAGATGCAATGGCTAATTCTGTTTTCTGTGACACTTTTTTTTTTAATTGCCGAATTCTCTCTGCATGCTTACAGTTCCGTTGGAACAAGAGCCATGGGAAAAGCTCTTGAGGTCTTCCTTAGGGGTCAATAGTAGTGTGAGAAACAGGAAAAGTCTAGGGAAAGATAATCAGGCAATGAAATGTCAATGAAATGTCAGTAAATAACCTACTGTATTATTAAACATTTGCAAAAATCTCTCCAAATACCCAGTTGAATTGAATACTTAGGAGTAATTATTAGAAAAGATTGTTATCAATGAAAGAAATACAGTTGTAGCCCTCTCCTGTAAAAGATCAAAGCAAAATTTGAGTCAACCTCTTTGCCATAGAATCATAGGATTGGAAGGGACCTTAGAGGTCTTCTAGTCCTACCCCTGCTGAAGCAGAAAACCTTATACCATTTCAGACAAATGGTTGTCCAATCTCTCCTTGAAAACCTCCAGTGATAGGAGCCACAACAATTTCTGGAGGCAAGTCATTCTGCTGATTAATTGTTCTAACTATCAGGAAATTTCTCCTCGGTTCCAGGTTATTATTTGGCCAAATATTGTAGCCACAACAAGAAAAACTATTTTCTCATTGTATTTTTTTCAAGTAAGAGCCTTGGTGGCGCAGCGGCTAAAGTGCTGTTAAAGTGCTGCCAGCTGCCTGCAATTACTGCAAGTTCAAATCTCACCAGGCTCAAGGTTGACTCAGCCTTCCATCCTTTCGAGGTAGGTAAAATGAGGACCCAGATTGTGGGGCAATAAGCTGACTGTGTAAAAAGAACACCGCTGGGGGGGGGGGGCGAAAGTCCTACTAAGTAGGTATATACAAAAAGTATAAAGGCTATTGCTTAACGCATTGTAAGCCGCCCTGAGTCTCCGGAGAAGGGCGGCATATAAATCAAACCAATAAATAAATAAATAAAGTATTTCCAAATCCTTTCCCTATTACTTTTTTTTGTAGATGTCAAAGGATAATATAAATTCATTGATTTTTTTTGTAGAAGTCTGTGCCTGTGTATAAATAATTATTAAAAAAAAACTACCATCCAGAAAAATAAGACGAAGAGCTAGTTATCGTTTTCATGCTGTTCAGTTAAAATAAATAACCCACTGTATTCAGAACTGAAAGGATATTCAGTGGCTACAAATTGCATTAGTGTTGGGTTTTCAATCTATTTGGGCACTACAGTCTCTCTCTGATATTAAGAAATTATGTGATGTTGTGTTGTAGACCGCTATAGATTTAATATTTGTTGGATGTATAAGATAAAATAAAAGAAAAAAGAAAAGAAATTAATATCTATCATATATCCAATTCTCATTGGATCAAAATTTGGAAAAAGTAGAACCAATTTCTTTCCCTTCATCCTTCCCCTCTCTTCCCATTTCTTGATCACCCAGATTTTAAACATGAGGATAAATATGATCAAGGAATGGAAAGATAGACAGTTTTATAGGATTAGGAGATGGATTATTGAAACTCATTTTACTTCTTCTGAATATATTTTGCAGAAGAAGTTGTTGCAAGTTCTAACTTAGTTTAGAATGAATGAAAGAAATATTAAAAAAAATATTCTTAAGCTCATGAACTTGTACCCTGAAGAACATTAGCAATGCTAATGTGATTTAAAATCAAAGGAAGTTCTCCAATATTATATAAAACTCTTATATAAATTATAAGAGGCTCTCTCGAAAATCTTAAAGTATGAGAAAAGGGCTTAGAACGCTTTACCAAATTATTTTAAATGTATTTTGACAGGTCATCATGAATACATGATGAAAACAACTGATAGATGGTTCTAACCCCCCACAGAATTGTAATCTATTAACCATGGTCTTTCTAAATTGTGTTAGAGATGTTTTAATCTAGCTGGATGAATTATGAATTATGAATTTTAATAGGATGTTTTTGAGGAAGTGGGGCAAAAACAAACAAACAAACAAAAAAGCAGTACAGGTAATTTTCAACCTACAAACAAAATTGAGCCTAAAATTTATGTTGTTAAGTGAGACATTTGTTAAGTGAATTTTGCTCCATTTTATAGCATTTCTTGCCACAGTTGTTAAGTGAATAACTGAAGTTATTAAGTTAGTGACATGGTTTGTTAAGTGAATCTGGCTTTCTCATTGACCTTGCTTATCAGAAGGTCCCAAAAGGGGATCATGTGACTCTGGGACACTGCAACCATCATAAATATGAGTCAGTTGCCAAGCATCTGAATTTTGATCATGTGACCACAGGGCATGCTGTAAAGGTTGTAACTGTGAAAAATGGTCCTAAGTCACTTTTTTCACTGCCGTTGTAACTTTGAACGGTCACTAAATGAACTGTCGTAAATTGAGGACTATCTGTAGTATAATGTTATGGTCCTATTTCCCCATAACATATAATATGGTGCAATTAATCAGTTGCAGTTTTACAATACTGGAAAATTAAAGTACAGTTTTCCTTGAATCAGTGGTTCTTAAAAGTGTAGAAAATAGGATTGGATTAAAAAAAAATTAAGACACAAGCAACAATCCATTAATTCAAAATCGAAGCAACAATCCGTTAATTCAAAATTGTTTTATTTATATTTGATCCCCAGTTTTTAAGCTACAACAGCAAAATATTCCCAGTTGCCTCCATCTGTGCAAATATCTTTTTATAGGCACATTTTGTACCACTATTTGAGATGACAAATGTCTTTCTCCATCCTCCCAAAGTACACAGGAATTTATTTATGTATTGGTTTTTTTGTATTTCGCTTTCCGGTTTTTAAAATGTGCCATATTTTGTTGACAGTGGTAGAATTAAAATAAAAGCTTGTGTTTTCTTTTTTTTAAAAAAACCAAACAGTTACATCTGCAGTACATTCTTGGAAATGTGCTTCTCCTTTGAATTAAATGTCAAAGAACAAGCACATCCTAATCAAATGAGAATAAGAACTAGTAGGAGGAAAAAAGACAGGGTAATATTTCAACGCAAGAGTAGTTTTGTTTTAAACTCCTCCCCAAAGGGTGGAACTGAATATGTGAAACTAGGAATGTATGCAGTGGGGATCCAAAGATGGAGACCAGAGCCATGTCTTTGAGACTTTTTTATACCACCACCATTTTACAGATACAAATTAACAGAGTTGGAAGGGACCTTGTAGGCCATCTAGTCCAACCCTCTGCCCAAGCAGACCCTACACCATATCTGAGAGATGGCAGTCCAGTCTCTTCTTGAAAGCCTCCAGTGATGAAGCTCCCACAACTTCTGAAGGCAACTTCTGTTCCATTGGTTGATTGCTCTCGCTATTAGAAAATTTCTCCTTATTTCTAGATTGAATCTTTCCTTGATCAGTTTCCATTCATTATTCCTTGTCTGGCCTTCAGGTGCTTTTGAAAATAGCTTAACACACCCTCTCCTCTCTTGTCCTGCCCTCAGGAGCTTTGGAGAATAGCTTGACTCCCTCTTCTTTGGGGCAGCCCCTCAAATATTGGAACACCTCTATCTTGTCTCCCCTGGTCCTTCTCTTCACTAGACTAGCCAGGCCCAGGTCCTGTAACTGTTCTTCATGTTTTATCCTCCAGTCCCCTAATCATCTTGGTTGCTCTTCTCTGCACTCTTTCTAGAGTCTCCACATCTTTTTTTATAGTATGATGACCAAAACTGGATGTAGTGTTCTAGGTGTGGTCTTACTAACGTACTTATTTACTAAGTAAGTTACTTACCTACCCAAATTTGCCTCTTCATCCATGGATTGGATACCCTGATCTGCAACCCAGAATATGGTGAATTAGCGGATGTGTATTTCCTTCAATGTATAAACAATTTCAACTGTTTATGGAGATTCTCAATCATCCAGGACATGGTTGTCTCAAAGGTGCTTTTCCAAAAGGCAGCTGGATTTTCTTGGGGGTTTTTTCCCCCTTTTGAAAGCATTTCGCTTCTCATCCAAGCTTCTTGGATGAGAACAAAACAAAAAACCAACACTGTCCAGTTGCTTTTTGGAACAATCTCAACTGTTGGCTCACCTTGATAGATGGTCTTGTGTTCAGATATGGGCAGAGCAGGAAGGAATTTCTGTTGTGCTTTTAAATTATTATTCTTACAGAAATGTTTCATTTTTGAATGCAGAAATGAAGCATTGGATGATTTCTTCCTTCTTTCCTTCCTTCCTTCCCTCCCTCCCTCCCTCCCTCTTTCTTTCTTTCTTTCTTTCTTTCTTTCTTTCTTTCTTTCTTTCTTTCCCCTCTTTTCTTTCTTTCTTTCTTTCTTTCTTTCTTTCTTTCTTTCTTTCTTTCCCACCTTTATTATTTTTACAAATAACTCAAGGCAGCAAACATATCCATCACCTCTTTCTCCTCCTGATTTCTGTACAACAGCAACCCTGTGAGATGAGTTGGACTGAGAGAGAGATGGGGAGAGAGAGGGACAGGGAGAGAGAGATAGGGAGGGAGGGAGGGAGGGAGAGATGGGGAGAGAGTGATGGGGGAGAGAGAGAGACCTGGAGGGAGCGAGGGGGAGAGAGCGACAGGGAGAGAGCGACAGGGAGAGAGCGATGGGGAGAGAGAGAGACGGGGAGAGAGAGATGGGGAGGGAGGGAGGGAGGGAGAGAGAGATGGGGAGAGAGCGATGGGGGAGAGAGAGAGACCTGGAGGGAGCGAGGGGGAGAGAGAGAGAGAGAAAGAGAGAGACTGGCCCAAAATCACTCAGCTGGCTTTCTAGGCCAAGCTAAAACTCAAAGTTTCCTGGTTTCTGTCCTGGTGCCTTAACCATGACTAGACTAAACTGGCTCTCTTTACCTGTCTTTTTTTTTAATCTTATAATTGACCACCAATCAGTGTATACATCTTAACTTGTTCTCTAATGCTGTGGGCAAGAGATGGGAGGGGCACCATCCCATCTGGCTTTTCAAAATTTGCTTGCAGAGCAAAGCTTCCTACCGTACGCACAATGTGGAATCTCTCCTTTCTAAATGTTCCTCCGAGCTTCGGAGGCATTCTGTGTACGATTTGGCTACATGGGGTGCTTTCTGGGCCAGATAACAAGAACGAAGTGATGAATGAAAGCAGGGGAATTTCCTCCCACTATGAAACACAGACACTTTTTATTTTGGCCTCCAATTGCTTCATCAGTATTCATTCATCAGGGACAACGAGAATAATTAGTTTCCTCAGCATGCAATCACCGAGAATCACAGCAAGAGATTCATCAGCCCTAGAAATTAGTATATTGGAGGGTTTTAAAGCAACCCTTGGCAAGGGGGGGGGGGAGAAGGGGCTCCATTGTGCTGCCATTGGACTTTTGCTAATGACTTTGAGGGGTGGGGCTTCTAACCAGAGAAACCGGGGTCACCATATGCTACAGGCAAGTTTCCTTTAAGAGAGAGCAAGGGTGTTTTAAGTAGTATTGCAGCAGATTCTTTTAAAAAAGCCTCTAACAGATGTGATTTGGTACCAAAGATCTGTTTTAGCCTGGGGGCTGTTTTATGTGGGGAGAAAACTTCTGTTTGCTGTGTATGGAGAAGGAAGTATTGGTCGGGCTCACCACATACTCAAGGACCAGGGTATTTCTGTGGCTTGAGGATATTTCTACAGCTGGACAGCTCCTTGTCTGGAGGGGCAATGGGAGAAGAGTATCAGCATTGAGTGAGGCTTTTTTTTTTTTAATTTTTAAAAGCATTTTTTCTACAACCTCTTCGGCCAAAAAAGTGCTTTTAAAAGTAAAAAAAAAAGCCTCTGATGATCACGCGGCTCAGCTGGGATTGTCAAAGGCTTTTAAAAGCATTTTTTCTACAACCTCTTCAGCCGAAGAGGTTATAGAAAAAATGGTTTTAAAAGTTAAAAAAAAAAAAGTTGGCCACGCCCACTCAGTCACATTACCCCCACCACCACCAAGCCACGCCCACAGAACCCGTAGTAACAAATTTTACATTTCACCACTGCCCTGGTGCCAGCCTCATTCTCTCCAGCCAGCTCTCTTCAGCCCTTGTCTTTCATAATAGGAAAACCTAGAGCTGAATCTTCATACTCATATTAATCAATGATGAAATTCCAGCTTTTAATCATGTCACCCTTTATTAAAAAGCGTATTCTTTCTATCCTACCTAACTTCCAGTCATGTCACCTACCTAAAAAAGAAGAGAAAGAGAGAGAAAAGGGAAAGCGAATCAGAACGACAACAAAAACGAGAAATCGTCTATCCATCGTCTTTATTCTAAAGCTTAGAATATGAGATAGAAATAAGAGAAAGGGGGAATATCAGTGTATACATTTTTATATAATAAAATAAAAGCAATAACGAGAGAAAACACGGAATACTTGAATAATGACAGATTGCAACTTAATATAAAAGTGTATTATTATTAGAAATATATAAATTGGTTGAATGTAATAACTATGATTAATTACTAGTTTTATTTGTATTAGAATGTATGATACCCAGGTGCCACACTGTTCACGCATTGATACATATATATAAAATAAAATAAAATAACTTGGGGGGAAAAAATGATGGAATTCCACAATAAGCCTCTGAGCAGAACAACTGGATGGAGAGTTCTCTGAATTTGCTGCAGGAAATATATGCAATGGGGAGAGGGATGTTTATATAGAGAACAACAAGTGGCCAAGGATGAAATATTTGTTCTATCACAAAAGGGGATGCAAATGGCCTCTTTTTCACTTGAGCATCGCATCACTGCATGTTACTACTACAAGAGGGGCAGAGTTGATCTCATGATCTCATGATACATGATTTGCCCTGCTGTTGAATTCATGGCTGAATGAAAGACTGGACAGTCTGACATAAATGTTGGCATATTTTATCAGTAAAGAAGGCCTTCAACTCTTCACTCCACCCTTGATTGGAAATTCTCTACCACAGGGGCATCCAACCTTGGCAACCTTTAAGACCTGTGGACTCCAACTCCCAAAATTCCCCAGTCAGTTGAGGTCCATAAGTCTTCACATTGCCAAGGTTGGACACACCTGCTTTACCATACTGTCCTTTGTGGACTACAATATTTTCAGAAGAGATGCTTCTATTGTCCTAGCCTTAAATCTAGCCCTAGTGCATAAGCCTTCTAATGAATCTGAAATATATGCCAACTTTTGGACTGTATTTAAAGTTTCCAAAGGTTAAAACTTTGACATCTGGGAAAGGGCATCGGAAATGTATGCATTCAAAGGAATTGAACTCAGTGAAGCAAATATAGAGACTTTTCCACATTTAATACCCAGTTCTGACAATTTCTTCTTTTCTCACGCTTCCTCAAACCTCTGCAGCGCTGGCACTGGACGGACAGGTTGCTACATTGTCCTGGATGTGATGCTGGATATGGCTGAGTGTGAAGGAGTTGTAGACATATACAATTGTGTGAAGACTCTGTGCTCACGGAGAATCAACATGATTCAGACTGAAGTGAGTTTTTCGGGATGGAATAGGGCAAGGGTCGGCAACCTTAAACACTCAAAGAGCCACAAAGGTCCTAACCAGAAGCCCCCCCCCCATTCAATTCTGGAGCCGATCGGAAGTCCGGTTCTCCCACCATAGAGTCTCCTCCTAGCACGGCATCCTTTTTCCTGTACCTGTCCTAACCGAAAGCCCTATCAATTGTGGAGCTGTCAGGCGACAGGGAGCCGCAGCAGAGGGATGAAAGAGCCACATGCAGCTCCAGAGCCGCAGGTTTCTGACTCCTGGGGTAGGGTAAAGTGCATTGTTCCAGCGAAGTTTGAAAGTCTGTGGAGATTCTTAGTTATCCAGGTCATGGTTATCCCCAAAGTGCTTTTTCCAAAAGGCAACTTGAGAAAGGAAGTCTAGTTGCCTTTTAGAAAAAGCACTTTTGGGGCAAGTTTGAAAGCCTCCTTTGTGGTTGGTATGTATCCTTTGTGGCACAATCTGAACACCTGGATTCCATATTATTTCAGGAACACTTTTATTGTGTAGAATTTTGGTACAAGAGCATTGCAGCCGAATAATGAATAAAATTCTGTCCTTTCAAGATCTTTCATTTGCTCTATATTGGCTCCTATTTTAGTCCGGGTAGCTTTGCATTTATACTACATAGCTAGGTCAGTTATTGTTGTGGCCCACCAGCGGCCAGCAGAGCTGGCAACAGAGTCGGACAGTGAGAAGGTTGGGGAGGAACATGGGCCAGTCCTGGGGTCTGGGGAAAGCTCGGACGAGGGCTCTGCGTTGGAGACCAAGAGGAAGCTAGACAGCAGTGAGGCAGAGGAGCAGCTGGAGCCCATTCCTAGTGTGCGCATGCGCAGAGCTACCAGAAAACAAGAACAACTCAGAAAGCAGGGTCGACTTGGGAGTAAAGCCACACCTTGGAGGTAATTGGCCCCTCCCATGGGAAAGAAAAGAGGAGCGAACAGGGGGTGGCCTTTTGTAGGAAACAATTCGTTCGTTCGGTCATTTCAAGAGTGGAAAATTCTGTTCGTGACTCTAAGAGACTCTGTGTCAAGTTTTGCCTTACTCTGCACTTGGAAACAAGTTACGTGGCAGCTTGCCAAGCGAGATAAGGGGTGTTGATAAATATTCCTTTGAAAAACTGTTTGGACAAGCCTTGCTGACTGTGAATGAAAGTAATTCACAGTCGTGTACGTAAAAGAGGCTTTGCCAGGACCAAGACTGCTTCCTGCATTTTAAGGGAGCCTAGGTCAGAACAGTTATTATTATTTTATTATTATTATTTAGTGTATGATGAGAACATGACAGAAGTAAACATATACACACAATCCAAGTAATTATATAGAAAACCTCTACAGTGGCCTCATGACTTGATGTCCAATTCAGCTATCCAGATGATCACCTCTGGCGTTGCTTCTTGCTGATCTTCTAGGGAACCAAGAAAACACACATTGTGGGAAATCTTGCACAATACGTTTAATAGTTTGCATGTCAGCACCACAGCAAATTAAGCCCATGTTTCTCAGCTTTAGCAATTTTAAGACGCATGGACTTCAATTCCCAGAATTTTCCAGGCTGGGGAATTCTAGAAGTTAAAGTCCACACATCTTAAAGTTGCCAAGGTTGAGAAACACTGAGCTAGACAAAGGACTTTATAAGTTCTGATGAGGGCCATTCTCAATTTCAATTGGAGATATTTTGGATGTTTTATCCTATGTAAAATCTGCTCTGTCACAGCTATATATGCCTCCCTATCCTAACCAGCCATATCTCAGAAGCAGAAAAAGCTGGTATAGTCCAGATTAACCAGACACAAGTGCCAGGTTCATGTGATATCTTATTCCCAAATAAAGATATTATTTAAAATGAGCTAGGGTAGTGGTCTAGCTTTGAAACACAGACACCCCTTCCCAAAGGGCATTTTAATGATTAAGAGGATTCAATGGGGAGATTGCAATCAAAGTTGGTTTCAGGATTGTTCAGCCCAGTTCCAACTGAGGATTTCAAGTCTGCTTTGAGCCATTCTGATCATTTGATTGAGAAGTGACAGGCAAATGATGCTGTTCCGATGTTCTTAACGAACCTTCATTTCCTTCATTCCTACTAAAGGAGCAATATGTCTTCATCCATGATGCCATATTGGAAGCCTGTCTCTGTGGAGAGACCAGCATTCCCATCAGTGAGTTCAGACCTACATACAAAGAGATGGTTAGGATAGATCCACAGAGCAATTCGTCCCAGCTGCGGGAGGAATTTCAGGTGAGTAATTGAAAACTGGAGGTTTTCTTGAAACCTGGGCTCTTGACCATGCTCCTGTGTTCCTGTTAGCATAATTTCAAATAACAGTTAAAGGGAAATAAATGAGAGAAGAGTTATAGGGAAATAACAGTGAGTGAAGGATGTGTCTGTATCATATATCCCCCGCAGAAGCATCTAGTGCAGGGGTCTCCTGCCTTGCCCACTTTATGACTTGTGGACTTCAACTCCTAGAATTCCTTGTGGCTAGCTGAGGAATTCTGGGAGTTGAAGTCCACAAGTCATAAAGTGGCCAGGGTTGGAGACCCCTGATCTAGTTGACCCTGATGAGAAACCAAATGCTGGACTGAGACGGGCCTTGACTTGATAGAGCAGGCTTGTTCTTACGTTCAATCCTGGAAGATGCATCCTTGTGTTTTGAACTATGGCTTTTCCTGAAGCACATAGGAATTTGAATAATTTTCTTCTTTTAAAATAGCGTGTATTTTTTTGATTTTTGTCCTATCTCATTACTTTTTAAGCGACTCAAGGCAGCAAACGTTTTATTTATTCATTTTCTATCATGCATTTATTATTTTTACAAGTAACTCAAGGTGGCAAACATATCCAACATACCTTTCTCCTCTTATTTCCTGCACAACAGCAATTCTGTGAGGTGGGCTTGGCTGAGAGTGACTAGCCAAGTCCCCAGCTGGCTTTCATGCCTAAGTCAAGACTAGAACTCACAGTCTCCTAGTGATTGGCCCAAAGTCATCCAACCGGCTTTCATGCCTAAGGTGGAACTAGAACTCACAGTCTCCTAGTGATTGGCCCAAAGTCATCCAACTGGCTTTCATGCCTAAGGCAGGACTAGAACTTACAGACTCCTGCTGATTGGCTCAAAGTCATCCAGATGGCTTCCTAAGGCGGGACTAGAACTCACAGACTCCTAGTGATTGGCCTAAAGTCATCCAACCGGCTTTCATGCCTAAGGCAGGACTAGAGCTTACACTCTCCTGATGATTGGCCCAAAGCCACCCACCCGGGTTTTATGCCTAAAGTGGTATTAGAACTCACAGTCTCCCAGTTTCTCGGCAGCACTTTAATCTTAGTCTTAAATGGATAGCTGTAGTGCGAAATTTCATCTGCCAACAAGATTGTAAAATGCTGCCTAATGTGGTTTCTTCGTGTTCAGCAGACTCTGAATTCTGTAACACCCCACCTGGATGTGGAGGAGTGCAGCATTGCCCTTCTACCACGCAATCGTGAAAAAAATCGGAGTATGGATGTGCTGCCTCCAGACCGGTGCCTCCCTTTTTTGATCTCCATGGATGGAGACAGCAACAACTACATCAACGCGGCCTTAACTGATGTGAGTTCATCTCTTGGGTGGGAAAATCATTGGCCAACAATCCCACCTACATTTCCGACACTAACTTTAAGCTAGGTAAAGTTAGGTTCCAAAAATTGGATGCTAGGAAAACAAAATCCCAAGAATTTAGAAAAGGTTTGGGAGACAAAGCTTGAGGAACAAATGTATAAAAAGCTCAAAGCTTTAAATAAGGTTTTAGAAAATCACTATAAAACTTCTATCAGGAGAAAAGAGTCAAGTGCAATCTAGTTGCCCTTCTAAGCCAATTTAGGCTCATCTCCTCAAGCTCACATTTTCTCAGTTTAGCTACAGTTGATTAAGTGCTGCCACCTAGCTAGATAATTTGGGGTTTTTTTTATAATTGAAATGAAAATTGACTATTGATCAGTACCTCTCTGAACCTCACTAGTTGATAGAATTTGATTGTCTCCTATCAAATTAATAGTTGTTGTGTCTTCTATATGGGCGTATGATGATTTCATATTTAGCACTTAGACCCAACCATTAACTTAAAGTTGGTTTCCTGATTAGTTCTGTATGTCTCTGAGCTGTGATGCTGTACAATTGAAGCCAGCCCTTGCTTTAATTTAATATATCGGACAAACTGTGTCTCTTTTAGCCTCACACATCTCAACACACACACACTCACAGCTCCACACATCTTACAATTTCCAAGCTTGAGAAACAGTGCTGTAGGTCAGGGGTGTCCAATCTAGGGCAACTTTAAGACTTGTGGAACTCAACTCCCAGAATACCCCAGCCACCCATGCTGGCTGAAGAATTCTGGGAGTTGAAGTCCACAAGTCTTAAAGTTGCCAAGGTTGGACACCACTGCTCTAGATATTGCTGCATTAGAGTTCCAGCATCTGCTGATGTTGGAGCTGCTGGCACTTACAATGTGGCACGTAGAGGAACATTGGAAGCAGCTTTATATTAATTCAGAACATTGTCTCATACAGTCACGTGTTGTTGTGGCCCGCCGGCAGCCTGCGGAGCTGGCAGCAGAGTCAGACAGTGAAGAGGCTGGGGAGGAATGTCCTGGAATCTGGGGAAGGCTCGGACGAGGGCTCTGCATCGGAGGCAGAGATGGGGCCAGGGCCATCTGGCAGTTATGTGCTGACTCCGGAGCCTCCAGAGTCTGACAGCAGTAAGGCAGAGAAGCAGGGGGAGCCTGTTCCCAGTGTGCGCATGCACAGAGCTGCCAGAAGGCAAGAACAGTTAAGACAAAAGGGGCGACTCGGGAGTAAGGCTTGGAGATGATTGGCCCCTCCCATAAGACATAAAGGTGGAGCAAAGCGACATGAACCTTTGCAGGAAGCAACTTTGTTTGTTCTGGTCGGTTTAAACTCTGAAGCTCCGTTTTGACTTTGTGCTCCGTTTGGCCTTGCAAAGCTAATTGGCAATTAGGTCTCTGGCAGCGTTTCAAGGGAGATAAAGGTAGGTACTTATCAGCCTTATCTCGAAAGACCGTGGCAGACCTCTGTCGGACTATTCACAAACTGCTTGGGACTCATTGTGAATGAACATAATTCACAGCCGTTGAAATAAAAAGAGGGTTTTGGGGACTAAGCATGTGATTGTTATTGACTCAGGAAGCCTTGGTCAGAACACGTGTCAGTGATGCTGCCCAGCATTTAGAAAGCCATTTCTATGCTTTCTTTTGGCTTCCTCTTGAGTTCGAAAGTTCTGATGACATCATCGCCTCCACCGAAACTCCGGTAGATTGCGCTCATTTCGATGGCATTCTTTTGTCTAGACAATATGATTGAGTTGCATTATTTCATGCCAGTGTGTCATGCAAACAAACGGTACGCTAGCTTCCAGCTAAGAGTAGGGCCAAAGAAAGCTACATTGCCTAAAATAATCAATCACCTCTTTCAATTAACCAAGGAAATGGCAGCTTGCTAGGAAGAAGGGGAACAATCACTTTGAAAGCCTGCCACCATGCAACGCTCCAAAGGAAAATGAATTGTCAAGGGTGAAAAGTTTCATCTGTATGTTTTTTCCCCCCCTAGGTCTTTTCTTTCACCATCACAGCATGAAATGATTTTGATCGGGATTTGATTTGGGCTGACTCAGTGAAGGAAGGCCGCCCTTCGGAGTCTACCTTAGAACCTGATTTCTTCTAGCCTTGTTCCTTTAAAAAGAGTATTTTCAAAAAGCATTTGAGCAGAGGGCAACTATTCCATTTGTGGGTACTTTAATGGAGCCTTAATTATGAATCCGGATCTAGGAAGAAGTGGCTTGATTATCTTTACAAGCTGTTTACGAGACACTATTTTTAATGCCACTAAAGTAAACGATTATTATTAAATGTGTGAAGAAGTCATCTAAGCTGTGTTTAATTTTGATTTGATCAAATCAGTTTTAATGGTTTTCCCGGATTAACTACTTTATTAGGGCAAGCCCAGTTTTAGGACTGTACTTGCCAACCCACAGAAATATTCATTTTCCAAAATATACAGTAGTGTGGATATTTCCCAGAAGGTCTGGGAAATAGCCTACTTCCTCCCCTGTGGCCATCTTCATGACTGGTTGGGGAATTCTTGGAGTCGAAGTCACAGGTTGTTAAGGTTGGATAACCCTTGAGATGTACATCTCAATTTTTATTCTGAGATAAAGATACACTACGCCAGGGTTTTTCAACTCTGGCAACTTTAAGATGTGTAGATTTCAACTGGCCGAGGAATTCTGGGAGTTGTAGTCCTCAGTGTCAGGATTCGGTGTCATCTCAAATAAACTGCATTTCAAACAAATAGTCCTTGATCGAAATCTTTCATTTATTAGGCACAACAATCGAAAACTCTGACTCAGTTGCAGCCAACACTGACTTCCTGGTCCAAACCCTCCCTTTCCTTTCCCCACTGCTCTGCTTCTCATTGGCCATCTTCCAAGTCACTCTGCTGTTATCTACTACTTCAGCTCAAAGGAATTTCCCCCCTCCCAACCCATCTCCTAGGGGATAGTATCTCCAGGGAAAATAAGTAGGTGAAAAGTCAAGCGTCCTCTTGCCAGATGCCCCCACCTTCTCCTTCTTATGTCAGCACTGGAGTGAATGCAGCTTGGAGTGCTGACACTCAGGTTTTAAAGTTGCCAAGGTTAGAAATCCCGATCTAAACATTTGCTCCCTCCTTTGTCATCTAAAGCTCCTTTTGTTCAGTGCTTTTAACCAACTACGTTGTAATTGTGATTGGTGAGCAGACTTCATATAAGAATGGCCTTGTCAGATTAGGTAAGGTTCATCTTAATGCCAGCCTAAAATTTTTTTAAAAGAGAGAACCAAGAGCAGATAATGTGCTTCTCCTTCCCTTTGAATATGGTATTAAAGGATTGAGATGATTGGTATTAAGGAATTGAGATATATTGCTAGTATGTGTAAAAATTTACATCACCCAGAATTCTGAGATTTGAAGTCCACCCATCCTAAAGAAGCAGAGGTTGAGAAACACCGCAACACCCACTGATGAATTGTTTCCATTTTTGTTTCCTACCTGCTTTTATCAATCTCTTTTGTTCTCCTCTAGAGCTACACCAAGAGTGCTGCTTTCATTGTAACCTTGCACCCCTTACAAAACACCACAACAGATTTCTGGAGGTTGGTATATGACTATGGCTGCACCTCCATCATTATGCTAAACCAGCTCAACCAGTCCAATTCTGCCTGGGTAAGTGAGAGAGATCCACTTGTCATATGACTATCTCTATTGCACTAGTAGTAGTTTCGTTCCCGATCTATAAAGCGTTGCCCCAGGAACAGGGGGACCCGTATTCAAGGTCCCCCTTCAGGGGTAAAACCTCGCTGCTGGTAAATTGGGATCACTTACTCTTAGTTCAACCTATCCCACACTTGCCTCAGCTTCTGCCCTTCTAGCAGTTCGAAAGCATGTTATATGTGAATAGATAAATAAGTATCACTTCGGTGGGAAGACATACCAGTGCTTCGTGTGGACAGTTAGAATCCTGCTGGTCCTGGACCTTCTTACTTGCAACGCCTGTTTTGCGAGGCGGCTTAGATGGAGGGAGAGGATCCCAGATGATGCTGCAGGATAGCTGCTCATCTTTCTTTCTGGTGCGGAACTAGCATGCCCCCTGTGGCAAACCTTGGTAAGCGCATAAGCATAAACCAAGCAGAGCTAATAGTCTTAGGCAGCCAAACAACTACTCTGCATTAGCTTTGTTGTCTCCTGTGGCTAATGTAACATCGCCATACGCTAAATAAATAAATGAATAAATCTAACCCACAAGAGTTATTCCTGTGGGAAAAGTACTGAGAAGAAACTTACATGCACTACTTTGCGTTCCTGGAGAAAAGGCAGAAATCTAAATAATAAATATGCCGACTGAGCAGGTACTCTGAGTTCTTTGCCCTGAGCAAAAATAAAAAAAGATGGGCTGAAATAATCAAATGATAAGTAGGATTGGAATAGCAAATAAGAGTGTTCTCCAACTTAAACATGTTACAGTAATAAGTCCTGGATTCTCCAGCCAACCTTATATCAGTTTACCTTTCCTTGCTGGTTTGGGGTACAAAACTTGCCATCTGTCATCACCCAAGAACCCCTCAAAGTAATTTTAAAAATTGGTTGCCATTTTTGCTCCCCCCCACTTATTTAGATTTTGGGTCTTTTATAGGCAGAAGGCTTGAAGCAGCATAGGTTTAAGACTATTTTTTTCTTTACTCCTTAAATAGCTAAGAATGGAGTCTGGCTTGAGCAATTTTTGGAATACGGCCATCCACATGCTGAGCAGATGCTGCTGCTGCCCTCCAGCCAATGGAAGTTGTGCATTCAGTGGCAAAGAACAGTCACAGCCAGTCACTCTAGATTTATTGTTTTAAAAGAAAAGAGGGAAGTGGGCAAAGCACAGTCAGCCATTGGCTACCGTTGAGATAGTTTTGTAGGTGCACAGCTGAAGGGTATTTGGCCATTGTAAGTCAGCTGAAGAGGCCTCGGTGACCTGCTTCTCTGATCATTATGGTTTGCTGAATAAATCACAGATGATTGGGTTTGCACAGCGGACTGAGCTGGAAGCCGGCAACTAAATGACCAGAGAAGACCATTCTGGGAGACCATGCAATCAATGGGTGGAAGGACTGCTGCCAGAAATGCGTGCATGCTTTTAAGTGACATTTGGTGGCATCATACAACTTTCTCCAACCTGGTGTCTTCCAGTATGTAGGTGAATAATCTATAGATTCCCCCAAATCTAAATCCATAGAGTGTTTATGCTTGCCTTTGCAATGCTGGAGCCTGTTGTGGCCCGCCAGTGGCCAGCAGAGCTGGCAGCAGATTCGGACAGTGAGTAGGTTGGGGAGGAACGTGGGCCAGTCCTGGAGTCTGGGGAAGGCTCGGACAATGGCTCTGAGTCGGAGGCAGAGAGGGGGCCCAGGCCATCTGGTAGTGCTTTACTGCCTCCAGAGTCTGACATCAGCGAGGCAGAAGAATAGCATGAGCCTGTTCCCAGTGTGCTCATGTGCAGAGCTGCCAGGAGACAGGAACAATTAAGGAAACAGGGTCAATTTGGGAGTAAGGCTTGGAGATGATTGGCTCTTCCCATAAGACATAAAAGAGAAACGAACGGGATGTGAGCTTTTGCAGGAAACAATTAGTTCATCTTGCCGATTCAAGATTTGAAAATTCTGTTTGTGACTCTGTGCCAAGTTTGGCCTTGCCCTGCAACTGGAAATTAGCTCTTTGGCAGCATTCCACGTGAGATAGGTGGCTGTTGATAACCTTCCTCTGAAAGACTGTAAATGAAAGTAATTTACAGCTGTAGGAATTAAAGAGGTTTGCCGGGACTAAGTTTGTGCTGTTTAATTTCTAAGGAAGCCCAGGTCAAAACAGAGCCCTTGAACATCAACTCATGCCTGTGCCTTCTGAGGAATTCTCGAAGTTGATGCTTAAGGGCTCCAGGCAAAAGCAGGCATAAACATCCTATGGATTTAATTTTGGGAATGTATGGTTTACGTATTTAGATCGTCAAACTGTGGAGCATTTGGGAAGTTTGAGTCTCCCTCCCTAAACCTTCAAAGCACTCTTGTTGGGTTCATGGCGGTTTTAAGAACCCATTACAAGTCCATAATGTTAATTTGCTTGATTTTTTTTTTGAAAAACACAACATTAATACTGTAGACTCTTAATGGACACCTTCATTAAATGGATGATTTTATGAGTCAAGATCAGACACTTCCAGGGCCAATGACCCAACTTATTGTTGTACTACTGATACTGAATCAAGGAGACGAATGAATTAAAGGACCCCCCTTTGAGTCAAGATGAGCATTCTTTTGTCAGTCTTGCTGGCTGAGTTAAAAGGGGACCACGGCGTGCTTAATAAACAGAAGAGGAAAATAAACATTATTCTCAGTGCTACCATATCAGGAGGTCTAGTAATACTGCAGGGCCAAAGGGAGTTTATTCAGGAGTGAAATTAACTCTGGAAGCAATTGACACAGAGGGAAATCCAAGCAGTGAACTCTGTTGCAACAGGGCGATCTAAGAATTGGGGGAGCTTAACTGGAAAAGAGAAGAGAGGCAGAACTATTTTCATCTTACAGAAGAAGCTCTGGTTCTTCTCTGGTCTTCGCAATCACAGTTGTGTAGCACATTTAACACCAAGTCAGTTGAAAACTTTCCTCCTGTGTCTGTCCAGCATGCTAAGTTTGGTTATTTTTAACTTCCGCATGCATTTTTGCAGCTTAACACATTCAGCGAGTTCAGCCTTTTGGATGAGTTTATGGTTCAGATCCAGAAAATGGGCTAATTAAAACAGATGAACTATGTGGATGTTGTGCAACATGCTTCAGATCCACCCTATGCTTCCCACTATGGGTTCAATATAACTCTGTTTTAGTTTAGTTTAGTTTAGTTTAGTTTAGTTTAGTTTAGTTTAGTTTAGTTTAGTTTATTGTCATTGCACATGGTACAACGAAATTAAATGCCGTCTTCAATGTACATTATAACTATAAAAATAAAAACACAAATATACATCCTTTACATTCTATATAATTGAAATTGAAAACCCAATATTGCACTATACCGTAGAATTCAATATGGTTATTGCCCTGGGATAGAAGCTGTTTTTCAGCCTATTTGTCCTTGTGTTTATTGTCCTGTACCGTCTCCCAGATGGTAATAGTTCAAAAAAAAGGGTGCCCAGGATGCGATGAATCTTTAAGAATGTTTTGAACTTCCTTAAGGCAGCGGGAGTTATAAAGCTCTTCCGAAGAGGGGAGAGGGCAACCAATCATCCTCTGGGCAATGACGTTGACCCCCTGGAGCGCTGTTCTATCTGCCACTGTGCAATTGGCAAGCCATACACAGGTGCAGTAAGTTAAAATACTCTCTATGGTGCAACGGTAGAAGGTCACCAGCAGTTTTTCATTCAGTTGTTGTTTCCTGAGAAGTCTCAGGTAGTATAATCTCTGCTGGGCCCTTTTGACCAATGCTGCAATGTGAGCACCCCAGGTCAGGTCCTCTTTTATGATAACACCCAGAAACTTAAAACTGGCCACTTGCTCCACTTGGTCTCCATTGATAAGCAAGGGTCTGATCTATTCCTTCTATAGTCCACTATAAGCTCCTTGGTCTTATTTGTGTTAAGGACGAAGTTATTGTCTCCACACCATGAAAACAAACGTTTCTCTCTTATCTTATTCTGCTCATCACTATAGATACCTGCTTCTTTAGGGATGTGTGCCTAGTGCTGTTTCAGGCTCATTTTAAACATTTACTCCAGTCAGTAAATCTGCAGACGACTTTGGGAAGGCAGTTTGGAGGACATATCCCTCATTTGAATCATGTCTTGCAGGAGGAAGTTGCAATACCCAAATGATGGCTCTGAGTTTGGACAGCATTGCGATTGCAAAAAAAATGATAGTTTTGATTAATAATTAATGACAGGTAGTCCTTGACCATTTCTGTTGCTACGTGAGATATTGGTTAAGTGAATTTCGCCCCATTTTACGACCTTCCTTGCCACAGTTGTTAAGTGAATCAGCGCAGTTGTCAAGTTACTAACGCGATTGTTAAGTGAGTCTGGTTTCTCACTGAGTTTGCTTGTCAGAAGGTCACAAAAGGGGATCACATGACCTTGGACCATTGTCACCGTCATAAATACGAGTCAGCTGCCAAGGGTCTGAATGTTGATCATGTGACCGTAAGGATGCTGCAATGGTTGTAAGTGTGAAAAATCATTTTTTCCCCAGTGCTGTTGCAACTTTGAACGGTCACTAAACGAACTGTTGTAAATCGAGGACTACCTGTACTCTTTAAATACACTTGCTATCCAATGTAACCTGAATTGTTAGATGGCCTGAAAAGGCTAAATGTTGCGTTAAAGTGCAGTGACAAACCACCGTGGTTTTTATGTTGATATTTCCATCCTGGTAGCTGCCGTAGGGAATGAAGTTGGTGAGGTAGGAATAGCAGCTTTCATGCTGGAGAGAGAACCATTCCGTCCATGGAGATCAGATGCCTCTCCAGAGTGATCAGGAAAAGAGGCAAACATCCATTGGCTCAAAAGAACAGGAGGGAAAATCCTTGAATTAGAACCTGGGAACAAGGATCTTTATTATGGCTTGTTGTGGCCCACCAGCAGCCAGCGGAGCTGGTAGCAGATTCGGACAGTGAGGAGGTTGGGGAGGAACATGGGCCAGTCCAGGAGTCTGGGGAAGGCTCTGACGAGTGCTCTGCCTCGGAGGCAGAGAGAGAGCCAGGGCTGCATGACAGTTATCAGCTGCCTTTGGAGGAAGACATCAGTGAGGCAGACAAACAGCTGGAGCCTGTTCCCAGTGTGCGCATGCGCAGAGTTGCCAGACGAAGGAAACAGCTAAAGAACAAGGGTCGACTTGGGAGTAAGGCCACAGGTAGATGATGAATGGCCCTTCCCATATGGAATAAAAGAGGAGCGAAAGGGGAGGGGTGTTTGCAGGAGACAATTAGTTCACTTAATTGGTTCGTGACTCTCCGAGACTCTTTGCAAAGTTTTGAAGATATCGGCCTGGCAGCTCTCCAAGCCAGATAAGGTCTGTGACTGTAAATTCACCCTTGAAAGACTTTGCTGAATGTGAATGAGAGGAATTCACAATAACTTAATAAAAAGGGATTTTTTGTTGGGATAGGGAGTCTGCTTCGTGGTTTGGGAACGCCAGGTCAGAACACAGCTGTGACTTCTGGGCTAATGCAATGGACCAATTTGTTGGTTCATGCCTATTCCTGAAAAAAGGGGTTATATGTTTACAGGGATAAGATTTACAGCTGAACCTGGTCTGAAAACAATCTCATTCATAATGCCTCAAGTAGACAATGCATCAGTTTGGCTGTGCCAGATGAATGACTATCAAGAGTCCTTCCTATCAGTCATCATTCCCTGCCACTTTAATGCCGAGCAATATTAAACCTTGTCCTGATGTATCCTAGGTGGAATTGGCTGAAAACAAACCTTGATTGAAGGGGATGTTGATAACATTGAATTGCTTCCCTGTGAGAGAAAAAGGGGGGGGGGAAGCCAGATGAGATTTATTCATTTAGAGAAAGAGGGACTAGAAGTGGGTGCGTGCAGGAAGGAGTGATGGGTTTTACAATTGCACATAAAAGCAAAATACTGTAAGTGTTGCTCGATTCCACAGCACAGGGATTATTCTTTGTGAGGAGAATGACAAAGAATCACAAAGTAAAATAACCAATGTGCATAAAAGTGGAGGCAAACTTTGGAGGTTTAGGGGAAGGGAAAAGAAGAAACATTGAATGGTGAAAGGGAAGGGAGAACGGCAAAGTTTAATCCACTGAAGCCATGCATCAACTTTTTTCTTCAGCCTTAAAATTCTGAATTCACATATGAAAATGCTCTCCCTGGTTGAGTTTGCACAATATATTAACTCCAAACCAAATGCACCACTTTATGGCTTATTGGGTAAGTAAATCTATCTCTACAGTGCCAGGTTATTCATGCCACTGTTGGTTCCTCTCTTTTTAGCCTTGTTTACAATATTGGCCAGAACCAGGCCTTCAGCAATATGGACCGATGCAGGTGGAATATATATCTCGGTCAAGTGATGAAGATGTTGTAGCCCGTCTTTTCCGGGTGCAGAACATAACACGGGTAGGTTTGCTTTAAACATCTGCACTATTTTTTTTTAATTAAATCAATGCCCCTTCCTTCCTTCCTTCCTTCCTTCCTTCCTTCCTTCCTTCCTTCCTTCCTCCTTCCCTCCCTCCCTCCCTCCCTTCCTTCCTCCATATCTCCCTCCCTCCTTTCTTTCTTTCTTTCCTTCCTTCTTTCCTTCCTTCCTTCCTTCCTTCCTCCCTCCCTCCCTCCCTCCCTCCCTCCCTTCCTCCATATCTCCCTCCCTCCTTCCTTCCTTCCTTTCTTTCTTTCTTTCTTCCTTTCCTTCCTTCCTTCCTTCCTTCCTTCCTTCCTTCCTCCTTCCCTCCCTCCCTCCCTCCCTCCCTCCCTATCTCCCTCCCTACTTTCTTTCTTTCCTTCAGTCTTTCCTTCCTTCCTTCCTTCCTTCCTTCCTTCCTTCCTTCCTTCCTCCTTCCCTCCCTCCCTTCCTTCCTCCATATCTCCCTCCCTCCTTTCTTTCTTTCTTTCTTTCTTCCTTTCCTTCCTCCCTCCCTCCCTCCCTCCCTCCCTCCTTCCTTCCTTCCTTCCTTCCTTCCTTCCTTCCTTCCTTCCTTTCTGAAAAACTTGATCTGAAAGAAATGGAAAAGGGAAAGGGGTTTGCATTGTGATCATTTGGGGCAAATCTTTTTCCTTTTCCACCAGCAATAACTGTAAAGTTGTAGTAGTTTCTCGGTTTCTTGACTGATAGTTTAAGGCTTCTTCACTTGTAATTCTGTAGTGAGACAGTAAGGAAACACCCCAAATTTGACTGCAAAATAAAATTGGATGATCAGTGTAATCTGGTAATATTGGAAGAAGTAGGCAATTTTCTTTATGCAAGAATTGAAGGTACGGTTGAGAGGTGAGGTAGCCAAGTTTCTACATGAAACCAAACTGCTGTTCAGGGTAGAAAAATCAAAAAGGGATTTCAAATTGGATTTGAAAATTATTGCAAGCCGCTGTTACTGAAGGGTTAACACACACCTCCATCAATCTCATCAAGACCAATTTGCAACCATTTTCAGGAGCTCACTGAGAGATTGGGAATGTGGAGGAGACTCAGCCTCTCCAATGAAGAGGCAAAGGATAGAAAAAACAAGGAAAGCATTATTTATATATTTATTAAATTTATATTTATTTTATTATTTGAGTTATTTATTCCATACCTTTATTATTTTTATGAATAACTCAAGGTGGTGAACATATCTAACATGCCTTCCTCCTCCTATTTTCCCCACAAAAACAACAACCTTGTGAGGTAGGTTGGGACTGAGGGAGAGTGATTGGCCCAAGGTCACCCTGCTGGCTTTCATGGCTAAAAGATGGGACTAGAACTCACCATCTCCTGCTTTCTAGCCTGGTGCCTTAACCCAGTGATGAAATGTAAAATTTGTTGCTACAGGTTCTCTGGCTGTGGCTTGGTGGGTATGGCTTTGTGGGGATCATGTGACTGGGTGGGCATGGGCAACTTTAAAAAAAAACTTTTTAAAAGCATTTTTTTACTACCAGTTTGGCCGAATAGGTAATAAAAAAATGTTTTAAAAAAGTAAAAAAAAAAAGGTTCCGACGATCACAGCTGTGCCATGCGATCACCTTTTACTACCTATTCGTCAGAACCGGAAGTAAAAAAAATGCTTTAAAAAAGTTTTTAAAAAGGTTCCGAAGATCACGCGGCACAGCTGTGATCATTGGAACCTTTTTAAAAGCATTTTTACTACCTATTTGCCCGAACCGGTAGTAAAAAAATGCTTTAAAAAAGTAAAAAAAGGGTTCCAATGATCGTGCGGCACAGCTGATTGACAATCAGCTGTGCTGCGCGGTCATTGGAACCTTTTTTTTAACCTTTTTAAAGCATTTGTTTTACTACCGGTGAGGCAAAAGCTCCACCTCTAAGCCACTGCACGACTCTACTCTCTCTGACATAGAAGTGCCTGGGAAGAAAAGGACTTAATTGTCACTCAGTGCAGACCAGCTAAACATTTCACTGTCTTTAGGGAGTGGTCACTGTGTGGCTGAGTGAAGGAGTTGGTATAGTATTTTCTTGCCTTTAATAGATCTTTACAAAGAGCTCCTAAAGGACCTTTCCCACCTGAATGAGCGAGCCTACAGGTGCTGGGAGCAACTGTGAAACGGCAGATATCCTACTCCCTAGGTGGACAAACCTTTTGATTGCAGCCAGTTGACTGCTATGTGATTCACAATGCTGGTTTAGATAAGCCTTGGTGTGATCCAGCACAATCCTTCTTAGGTCTTTATTGGGTTAACCTTCCCTCAGGGCCTTCCCAAATTAGCCCTATTTTGTTATTATGTCAATTGTCCCACATCAATTAGTTCAGTCCATTCCATCTCGTGTTGATGTTTTCAAAAGACATGAAAGTGTCTGTCAGGGTTCCCCAACGAAAGAAGACTCCGAGGCTTTGAAGTTCCTCAAAGTTCCATTTTATTAGAGATGTCATATTGGCACATCTGGAAAAACCCAAATCTGAAAGCTTTCAGGTTTTCCCCACCCAAAGAAAAGTTCAAGTTCCTGCCCAACACCCACAAGTCCATCACATGATCCAATCAAATCACCATCCCAACTGGAGATGACTCCCAGTTCCAGCCTCCCAGGTGCAGGGCAAGACGGCCTTGACTTTCTGAGAAAGAAATGTTATTATGACTACATAATGTAATAATTATTTCCCACATAATTTCCCACAGCAGGAAATGTGGCAGGCCTGAAGACCCAAATGTAAAAGATGGCTTCCAGGTCTGACTGTGTCTGTCTTTCGTGCATTTTGTTTTATTTTTGTTTTAAAAGACAGAGAATTGTGTCTGGTGTTAGATTAGGAAAACTGACCCCGGGCAGTTTGCTTCAGAATGAAACTGGTGAAAGATTTGAGCACCAGCCCTGCAACAGTGCAGGGTGGATTTGATTTAAATCGAGTTGATTTAAATCACAATTTAAATCATGATTTAAATCACTAGTAAAAAGGCTTGATTTAAATCAAGTCGATTTAAATCATAATTTTTAAGGAGCAACTGTCATCTCTGCTACTCCTTTGACCCACTGTTGACTCACCGATAGTCCCAGTGTTGCAAAATATACAGCCTCATGCTACATAACTAAGCTCCATTTCATGCTGAATAAACTAAATTATTTATGTATCTTAAATAGAAAACTATCTTACGATAGATTTTTACCCCAAAAGTTTTTTATTAAAATAAATTTGATAAAAATCAAAAAAATCCAATTTAAATTAAAAAAATCTGATTTTTTTGATTTTTTTTTTTTAAAAAACCATTGATTTTTATCCACCCTGGCACAGTGGTTAGAATGCAGCATTGCATGTTAACTCTGCCCACAGTCAGGAGTTCGATCCTGACTGGCTCAAGGTTGACTCAGCCTTCCCTCATTCTAAGATCGATAAAAAGAGGACCCAGGTTGTTGAGGGCAGTATGCTGACATTGTAAACCACTTAGAGAGTGCTATAAAGCAGTATATAAGTCTAAGTGCTATTTCTGGAAGCTCCTCTTTAAATTGAATGTAAAATCGAACTCAACCGAATGCTCTCCAAATTCATTAGATTAGAATTTCCACAACTTCCAGCCCCTATATTGAGGGCAGGCACTGGTTGGGGATTATAGAAACTGTGGTCCCGATAGCCCCTGATTCATTCATTTGAACAATTGTAGAAAGGAAAACTCAGATGGAAAGTTCACTTGCAGGTTGCTCAGAAACTGGTAGCTAATTGTCCCTTTTTTTCAATATAGTGTCTCTCCTGTCCCAGGTCATTACAGTGGCATTAATAATGCCACCCACGGAGAGTCAGTCGGAAAACCCATTTTGAGACTCGTCGGATTTTCATCCTTTCCACTGATTTTGTACTGAGCTTTCTATCCAGTGCTGTTAAATTCCAGGCTCGCTTAGCTATGGGCGGGTAATCCCTCCTCATTCCATTCCAAACTAACTACATTATATTGCAAATCTACCTATATTATGAAAGTATTACAGGGCCTCATTTCCTTATCCCTGCTTCCCTTCTCTTTCCCTTTCAATCTCTCTCTTTTATTATTATTATTATCATCATCTCTTTTATTCATTAAACATGAAATTCAGTCAACTGAACATTTAAAAATGTGTCACAAATACGATTGACTGGTGCTAATGGTTGACATGGGTTGCTGCCAGCATCCTAGGTATCAATCAAGTATCTTCTTAAAATATATGATGTTCCGAGTAGCGCAGTTTTTTGCAGTTCCGCTGGTGTTATTGCAGAAAGCTGCAATTTCTTGATGTCTTTTGTAAAATTCTTGGACATGGTACCAAGTGCCCTGATGACAATGGGTATCACTGTTACATGTTTCATCCATAGCCTTGTAGTTTTGATGGCCAGGTCGCGATATTTCGTGATTTTTTCCAGTATTTTTTCTTTGACTCTGGCATCTCCTGGTACAGCGATATCAATAAACTGTACACTTTGGCCCTCGACAACCATGATACCAGAGGTGGGTTCTAAAATTTTTTACTATCGGTTCTGTGGGCATGGCTTATTTTGTGGGTGTGGCTTAGTGGTCATGTGACAATTCTTTAGGATTTAGCAGAGATACTGGTCTACCAGGCTTTTAATTGCTTGCAGAGCTGTACCGGTCTACCCATTTGTTCTTGGAGCGTTCTGGTCTACCCATTTGTTTTTGGAGGCACCGGTCTACCCATTTGTTTTTGGAGGCACCGGTCTACTCATTTGTTTTTCGAGCGCACTGGTCTAGCAATACACTGCCTTTTACCGCTGATCAGCTGTAGGGCGGCCCTTTGAAGCCCCAGGGCAAGAGTTTAAACAGTTTTTTTCCTTCTAGCCGATCAGCTGGGACTTGGGAGGCAGCGAATAGATTGGGGGCGGGGCCAAATAAAAGGTAAGAATAATGCGGGGTGGGTGCGTGGGAGGGCCCAGGAGATAGATGGCTGGCTGGAAATATAGTAGTGCATTCTTCACAACTCTGGTTGGAAGGAGTGATATGGAATTTTTGGGAGTGCAAATGCAGCAGTGCATAAAAGAGTTGTGCTTTTCTGGATTTTGTACATCAGTAAGCACTTCTTCCAAATCATTTTTGAAACAAGTGTAGTTCTAATACAGGCAGTCCTTGACTTACAATAGGACCACGATCTCCATTGCTAAGCAGGACAGCTATTAAATGAGTCACACCTGATATTACAACTTTTCTTGCCACAATTATTAAGCGAATCACTGCAGCTATTAAGTGAATCATGATGTTGTTAAGCGAATCTAGCCTCTCCAATTGACTTTGCTTGCTGGAAGCCGGGCTGGGAAGATCACAAATGGCAATCTGCAACCGTCATAAATACATTGATCGTAAGTATAAGTACGTTTTTTCAATGGCTTTGTAACTTTTGAATGTTACTAAACAAATGATTATAAGTCAAGGACTATTTGTATCTACAAATGGGACTATGTGTGTGTCTGTGTAGAACAGTGTTTCTCAACCTTGGCAACTTGAAGATGAACGGACTTCAACTCCCAGTAATCCCCAGCCAGCATAGCTGGGGAAATTCTAGAATTCATAGAAATTCTGGGAGTTTTTTGTTTTTTTAATTTGATTTATATGCCGCCCTTCTCCGGAGACTCAGGGCGGCTTACAATGCGTTAAGCAATAGCCTTCATACTTTTGTATATTTATACAAAGTCAGCTTATTGCCCCCACAAACTGGGTCCTCAATTTACCTACCTTAGAAAGGATGGAAGGCTGAGTCAACCTTGAGCCTGGTGAGATTCGAACTTACAGTAATTGCAGACAGCTGGTGTTAATCACAATGCTATCAGTCTGCTGAGCCACCAGGCTCAGGAGTTGAAGTCCATTCATCTTCAAGTTGCCAGGGTTGAGAAACACTGGTGTAGAAGGTGGTGGAGGTAGTCCTCGACTTAGAGCAGTTCATTTAGTGACCTTTCAAAGTTACAACAGCACCGAAAAAAGCGAGTTATGACCATTTTTCACACTTATGACCGTTGCAACATTCTCCTGGTCATGTGATCAAAATTCAGACGCTTGGCAACTGACTCATATTTATGACCGTTGGCAGTGTCCCAGGGTCATGTGATTACGTTTTGTGATGTTCTGACAAGCAAAATCAATGGGGAAGCCAGATTCACTTAACAGCCGTGTTACTAATTTAAGAACTGCATTTAACAACCTTGGCAAGAAAGTTCGTAAAACGGGGCAAAATTTACTTAACAAATGTCTCACTTAGCAACAGAAATTTTGGGCTCCATTGCGGTCGTAAGTCGAGGACTTTCTGTATTTAGGAATAAGTCCAAAGTAACAGCAACTGAGAATCAAATAAGAGCAGTTCATTTCATTCCTCTATCGTGCCCCATGAAATGTCCCGTGCCTTTCAGCTGATTTACAACTGATGCTCTAAAATCCATTCTGGAATGAATACATTAACAGCTTTAATTTTCTCCATCTCTTTATCATTATTTTTTAAAATCTTATCAACATGTAGCATCATCAGAAACATAAGGAATCTTGATATGCTTGTACACTTGGTTGGTTATGTATATATTAGATTTAGAGGGGTTTTTTTTTCCTCCCTTAGCTAGAGAGTTGAACATTTTTGAGCAGTATTGTCTGAGTAGAATTGCCTGTGATTCATGTTGTACTAAGTAGGTAATTTCCCTATTTTCATGAATCACAGACTCCCTGCTATGAAATAATATAAGCCAGTTGTTAGCAACTACTGGATTGAGGCCCAACAATGAGTCATATTGTAAATGAAGATGGGTACAACTAGGAGAACCTCAACTTAATGAAGGAGTAGAATTTTAGGGCAGAAGTTCAGCTGAGTACGTTTGCCTCATTTTGAAGTGAAGTAATATTATTACTGTCTGAAAATACCTTCTCCCTCTTATTGTTTGTCTTAGATATGCAACTGATTGAAATTCAGCTCTTTTGCCCATTTCTATGCCCTAGAACAGTATTTCCTGATCATGAACCCTTTCCATAATTCTGTAACTAGCATCATCATTTTTAAGACTACTGGGAATTGAAGTTCCATACTGAGCAAGAGTAAGGGCACTCAATCTCCAGAGAGTTTTTGAATGACATTCTTAAGAGTTTCTTCTAAAAGCAAACAACTGAATACAATAGAGACAAAAAATAAATTGGATCTAATTTCTTAACATTGAACCTAATTGCGTCTAATAACACTATCTCATTATGAATATTCCCTCTTAATAAAATTTGCCATTTGAGGAGGTTTCTGGGACTAAATTCAAAGATTTAGGGAGCTGTGAATGGTTTAGTGCAGGGTTTCCCAAAACTTAGCACTTTAACACACAGGGACTTCAAACTCCCAGAATTCCTCAGCCAATATTGCTAACTGGGGAATTCTATGAGTTGAAGTCCGCCAGTGGTGGGTTTCACATTATGTTACTACCGGTTCGCCCCGCGCGTGCACGCTCGCTTTGTAGTTGGTGGTGTGGTTGGCGGCTGGTGGTTCGGAGAACTGGTAGCAAAAATCCCTGCCCCCCCCCATGCCCAACTGAGCCGCATGACCATCAGAGGCTTTTTTTATTATTTTTAAAAGCATTTTTTCTACAACCTTTTCGGCCCCAAAAAATGCTTTTAAAAGTAAAAAGGAAAAGCCTCTGATGATCACGCGGCACAGCTGGGATCGTCAGAGGCTTTTAAAAGCATTTTTTCTACAACCTCTTTTGCTGAAGAGGTTGTAGAAAAAATGCTTTTTAAAAGAAAAAAAAGCCTCTGACGATCAGGCAACTCAGCTGGGATCATCAGAGGCTTTTAAAAGTATTTTTTTACAACCTCTTCAGTCAAAGAGATTGTAGAAAAAATGGTTTTAAAAGTAAAAAAAAAAAAGTTGGCCACGCCCACTCAGTCACATTCCCCCCATCACCAAGCCACGCCCACAGAACCGGTAGTAACGAATTTTACATTTCACCACTGCACCTATCAGATTCCAAGTTATGTTTCATCCTGGAGAACAGCTGACTTCTGGTTTTAGCAAACTCTTGACAAGAGGAGAACTAATAACAGGACTTTTCTAGTTACAGGAAGGACACTTGATGGTCCGGCACTTTCAGTACCTGCGGTGGTCAGCCTACAGAGATATTCCAGATTCAAAAAAGTCTTTCCTGAATTTATTAGCCCAAGTAGAGAAGTGGCAAGGAGAGAGCGGCAATGGCAGGACCATTGTCCATTGTTTGTAAGTATTCTTTGGATTAAGTGGGAAGAAAGAGACCAATGGAGAATCAATGTTTCTCAAGTAAGGGAGCGGGTATTCTTGTCTGCAAGTCAATTTTGCACTGTTGTCTGCCTTGTTAGCAACATAACTCATCTAGGATCATGGGGTTTTATGAACTGGAATTCTTCATAGGTAGAGAGTCTACATGGAAATAGTTGAAAAAGCACTGTAGGTAAATGTCCTTTTGCAAACCCTGTGCCTGTGGTTACTAATGCCAATGTTTCTGCAGAGTCTTGTATAGGAAAGATTAAGATCTGTCAAGGCCGTAAACCCTACTGTGAACCTACTATTATATCCTGCTCAATAAGGAGAAATTAATCCTAAACTTCTTGATGTGCGTATAATGAAAACTGTGGTAGAAATAAGCCACGATTTCAGCATGGATGCTTATCGAAGGAAGAGGAGCCGGGGCAAAGACAACACAGTCCTAGGCTGCATAGAATCAAGATCAAGTGAAGTCTTAGAAAACTTTATAATCCCTTGGATAAATTCACACTTGGAATACTGCATCCAGTTTTGGTCACCATGATATATAAAAAAATGTTGAGACTCTGGAAATAGTACAGAGTAGAGCAACAAAGATGATTAAGAGGCTAGAACATATGAAGAACGGTTGCCGAAATTGGGTATGTCCAATGAAAAGAAGGACTAGGGGTGACATGATAGTAGTGTTCCAATATTTGACCCAAAGAGGAGGGGGGTCAACCTATTTCCCAAAGCACCAGAGAGCAAGACAAGAAACAATGGGTGGAAACTAAGCAAGGAGAGAACTAACCTAAAAATAAGGGAAAAATTCCCGACAGTGAGAGCAATAAACAATAAACCAGAGGAATGACTTGCCTTCAGAAGTTGTAGGTGCTCCATCACTGGAGGCTTTAAAGAAGAAATTGGATAGCCACTTGTCTGAAAAGTTATCAGGTTTCCTGCCTGAACAGGGGTTGGACTAGAAGACCTCCAAAGTCCTTTCCAACTGTTATTCTGTTAAACAGACTGCATGGGCCTAAGGCAAGTTTTTTTTTTGTGTGTGTGTGTTTTTTTAATTTGATTTATATGCCGCCCTTCTCTGAAGACTCAGGGCGGCTTACAATGCGTTAAGCAATAGCCTTCATACTTTTGTATATTTATACAAAGTCAGCTTATTGCCCCCACAAACTGGGTCCTCATTTAACCTACCTTAGAAAGGATGGAAGGCTGAGTCAACCTTGAGCCTGGCGAGATTCGAACCTGCAGTAATTGCAGGCAGCTGGTCTTAATAACAGGATGCTTTAGACCACTGTTCTTGAAAGCTATAGCTTAATGATCCAAGTTTGTTAGATCTAACCAGACCCCAGGGGATCTTGTGCCCTGTGCAAGTGTTCATTAAGCACATGGGTACAATTAAATTGAGAGGAAATGCAGCTCTATGCCTCCAACCATTTCTCCTCAGTACCCCTACTCACCAATGGTGGGTTTCAAATTTTTTTTAACTACCGGTTCTGTCGGCATGGCTTGGTGGGTGTGGCAGGGGAAGGTTACTGCAAAATCCCCATTTCCTCCTGATCAGCTGGTACTCGGGAGGCCGAGAATAGATGGAGGCAGGGCCAGTCAGAATTTTTACTACCGGTTCTCCGAACTACTCCAAATTTCCGCTACCAGTTCTCCAGAACTGGTCAGAACCTGCTGAAACCCACCTCTGCTACTCACCCCATTAACTGAACATTTCACAAGTTCTGCCCAGAAATCTGAAAAGCATCTCTAAAGTCACAGGACTAATGCAACGTGCAAAAAAAGCAGGCTGTAGCCTCATCTAAGTAAACAGCTGCAGCCAGGGATCAAAAGCAGCCAAAACTGATTTCAAAAGGTATCTGAGGAAAAAAAAACCTCAATCACTGCGTTGCTCTTCAGTTGTTGATTTTTGGTTCAGCAACATCCACACTCCAAGAGAACAAGCAGGCTTCCAAGTTGACAAGGGCATCCAGCAGCGAAACAGCCAAATTAAGGTTGTGTATTAGTCTAAAGATAATTTGGCAGCATGCCTTGCAAATTCCAGAGGGTAAGGAATTGAGGAAAGAAAAGAGGAGAGAATAGGAGGCTTTGGCTCACAAACAGCCATCTTGTATACATCTGGCTAATTTGATTATATCAAGTGTGAAGGATTTATTAGCTCTGAAGGGAATCCATGCCCAGAAGAATTTACAGCGTAAGCTGGCAGCATGCCCGTACGCTGCTGGGAGAGAAACTAATTTTGCTTGGGTCACACCAGTTTACATAAAGCCAAACAGGTGCTTGAGTTAGGAACACTTGAAGCAGCTTAATCTTATATTGGGAGTTTGAGACAGTGACAATATCACGCACAGGTGTTTGGTTTGATTGATTTGGGAGTTGTCATTTCTAAATGCCCATCTTTTTTCCCCTTCAAAATAACATTCTGGAATTGAATAGCTGTGTGATCAGATCCAGAAATAGGCAATCGAGTTTCCTTCCGAGATTAGCTTCAATATTGGATCAAATGCAATAGCAGTAGAGAGAAGCTGGCCAAAATGTTTTCTGACCAGTTTTCCAATTCAGAAAACAACCTTCAAAGAGTTTAGCTGTTCTTGTTACAAGAAGAAGAAAAAGAAACCACCTGCCACCTTCACTTACAACAGCCTTCCCCAAACCCAGAGTTTCCAGATCTGTGGAATTTAACTCCCAGAATTCCTAGTAAAGATCTTGCTGGCTGGAGGATTCTGGGATTTGATAACCAAAGAATCTGAAGCGTGCCCAGGTTGGAAATGGTCATATCAAATACAGGGAGTCCTCAGCTTACGACCACAATTGCACCCAAAATTTATGCTGCTAAGTGAGAAATTTGTTAAGTGGGTTTTGTCCCATTTTACAACTTTTTCTGCCACATTAATTAAGTGAATCACTGCAGTTGTTAAATTAGTAACACAACTGTTAAGTGAATTCCCCATTGACTTTGTTTCTATAATAGAGAAAGTTGAAGAAGTCCTCAACTTAGAACTACAATGGAGCCCAAAATTTATGTTGCTAAGCAAGATAGTTCTAAAGTGAACTTTGGCTCATTTTACCACTTTTCTTGCCACTGTTGCTAAGTAAATCATTGCAGTTATTAAATTAGTAACACGGTTGTTAAGTGAATCTGGCTTCGCCATTGATTTTGCTTGTCAGAAGGTCACAGAAAGTGATCAGATGACCCTGAGCGCTGCAACGGTCATAAATAGGAGTCAGTTGCCAAACATCTGAATGTAAATCACATGATCATGGGGATCCTGCAACCGTCATAAGTGTCAAAAATGGTCGTAAGTCACTTTTTTCAGTGCCATTGTAACATTGAATGGTCACTAAGTGTTGTCAGTACACCTGTAATAATAACTTTGCTTCCAACCCAAACATGAGATCTCAACTTGTGTATGGACAATATCCCAAACAATATTTTGCTATTTGAAGATAGTTTCCAATCCTATCCACTTAAAACAGGTGAAAATTTTAGCCCGGTACAAATAATAAGACAGCGTTGGCATTTATGCAATACGTTTCCTGAAAGGTTAATATGCTGCATGACCACAACTGTGTAATAGTGCTTGCAGCTATTATCTTCATTAACAAGTTGCTCACCATTTCATAGTATAACTGTTTCCTTCCCCTCTATTCTTTTTTATTATTATCTTTAAACTCCTATGTGTTTAAGCACTCAATTGAAGCTTCCTCAGCAATTCAATCTCTTATTAAGGGTTATTTCTCAGCTATTGCCACCAGCCATCATATTATATCAGAAATAGGCAGTCTAGGGCCTAGGCCAGTGATGGCTAACGTTTTTGCCATTGCGTGCCAAAAGCGGGGGGGGGGGGGGGCGGGGGGTGGCGCACGCGCTTGCCCACACCCATAATTCTATGCACCTTGCCCCCCTGTGCATGCATGCGTGACCCCCCCGCACTCCCTCCACTTTGGCACACGATGGCACAGTGGGCCCGGTAGGCCCGTTTTTCACCCTCCCCAGGCTCCAGAGCCTTTCTAGGAGCCTGAGGAGGGCGAAAACGGCCTTCCCCACCCCCCTGGACGCCCTCAGGTGGCAGGAAACAGTCTGTTTCCCTACTTCCAGTGGGCCCAGAAGGCCCAAAAATCAGCTGGCCAGAGCGCGCATGCGCACCGGATCTGAGCTCACATGCCCACCGATATGGCTCCGCATGCCACAGGTGCCACAGGTTCGCCATCATGGGCCTAGGCAGTCTTTATGTTCAAAATGGCTATGTTGAAAGCTTAACTCAGTTATGCATCACCCGAAAGAAACACATCATTTTCTGAAAAAAGTGTGCAATCTGACAGTCTGTTCTGCCTCTTGTGAGAACCAAAAGAATAAATATGAAACTAATTTCCAGTTCATTACCAGTTCATTTCCATACCAGTTCATTATTATTCCTCTTGACTCGAGCAAAACAAAAATGGACAAGAGATTGCTTGTGCAGCTTTTGCTTATTTACTAGATTTATAGCCTAGCCTGTCTTACCTGTAAATAACTTGCATGGAGATTAAGAGAAAAATGCCAAATACAAAAAAAAAGAAATGATTACTTTAAAAAAAAAAAATTCAAAGCATAACTCCAGCCACACCGAGTAGAAAGTCATCAGTTAAACCAATTAATATCTGAAAAGATATACTGAATCTTGCTGTTTTTTCTAAAAGACAGCAAGGATTGATTGTAATTCCTGTGTGTTTTCCACATTTTGAAGACAATAATAAAGGAGCAGGTCCTTTACAGTTTCTCTGCCCTCTGTAAACTGGGCAGCATTTGACTAAGCACCATTTTACAAATGGTGTAAATGTTTGAGAGCCCTTTGTTTAAAGCTTCCAAATGACATGGCTTTCAAGAATCAGATAAATCATACTAAACATGATGCAAGAACGCCATGAATTCTGCATCTTATCTCAAGTCAGAACATTTCAGTGAGGGATAACTACAGGTGTCCTGTTGTTGTTGTTGTTGTTAGTTGCAAAGTCGTGTCCGACCCATTGCGACCCCATGGACAACGTTCCTTCAGGCCTTCCTGTCTTCTACCATCCTCTGGAGTCCATTTAAGCTCACGCCGATTGCTTCAGTGACTCCATCCAGCCACCTCATTCTCTGCCGTCCCCTTCTTCTTTTGCCCTCCATCTTTCTCAGTATTAGGCTCTTCTCCAGGGAGTCCTTCCTTCTCATTAGGTGGCCAAAGTATTTGAGTTTCATCTTCAGGATCTGGCCTTCTAAAGAGCAGTCAGGGTTGATCTCCTCTAGGACTCACTGGTTGGATCGCCTTGCAGTCCAAGGGTCTCGATGGAGTCTTCTCCAGCACCATAGTTCAAAGACCTCAGTTCTTTGGTGTTCAGCCTTTCTTATAGTCCAAATTTTACAGCCAGACATTGCAACTGAGAACACTATAGCCTTGACTATACGCATTTTTGCTTTTGTCTCTCTGAAGTGATCTGTACGATGGTATGGAAAAGCTGGACATGTACCTTTGCTTGGGTTGTTGGGGGGTTTTTTGTTCTCTCTCTAATGCTAGGCTAAATAGTGACTAGTTCTTTACAGTTCTTCTTGGGCTCCTTTTAGCTGCATTCTTCATGTGTCTAATTTCTTCTGTAGGAATGGAGGTGGACGGAGTGGTACCTTCTGCGCCTGCACCATGATCCTGGAGATGATCAGGTGTCACAAGCTGGTGGATGTTTTCTTTGCCGCAAAGACCCTTCGCAACTATAAGCCAAATATGGTCGAGACCTTTGTAAGTAGCGAGTAGCATTTATGTGCCCTATTTCTTCTAAAGAGGGCTATGGTATTTCTTCAAGAAATTATGGAACTTGCTCCCGTAAAAGGTGGCAATGACTTACACAAACAGAAGGTGGATTGGGGGCATTTTTCAACTATCAAAAGAATGTCCATACTCGGAAGCTTATACCAATTACTGTGAACCTTTGATATGGAAATTCTGTGGAATCATCACAGCTGGTAGAATTCAGCATGCTACTAAATGAGAATAAAACAGTAGAAATTTTCATTCATGTCATGCTTAGAAATGTCTGGGAAGAAATTGGTTGCCCTTATGAAGAACAAAGAACTACTATAGATTGAGGTTTAGTCTGATCCCTAGTGCCAGGAGGTATAAGCTTCTTTGTTTGATGAAATGATAGCCAACTGGTTTTCCCATTTGTGCTTTGTGAGTTCTGCAACAAAAATAAAGTAGATTCTTAGTATGCCACATTCACATATATATATATAAGTACATAAATGAACACTATTAGTAGTGTAACACTTGCTGTTTATCAGTTGCTAAGTCATGTCCTACTCTTCACAGCCCCATGGATTATAGCATGGCAGGCACCTGGTCTTCCACTGTTTCTGGAGTTTGCCTAAATTCATGTTCATTGTGTTGATGGATCTATGTAACCATCTCATCTTCTGCTGCACCCATCGTCTTTTGCCTTTAACCTTTCCCAACATCGGGGTCTTTCCCAAGGAGTCCTCTCTTCTCATTTGGTGGCCAAACTATTGAGCTTTAGCTTCAGTATCTGTCCTTCCAAAAAACAGTCAGGGTTGATTGGCTGGCCACATTGTAATATCATTAAACCAAATCAGAATGGAAGAGGGAAGTGATACATGCCTGTTTAATCAGATCAGAAAGCATAATTGCATAAACAATAAATATCTCAGAAGAAATGTTTTCTCTGTGTACCCACATCTTCCCTCCCAAAGTGTCCTCTACAAACATAAAATAGATATTTTGGATGTTATGATAAATAGAAATAGAATAGAATAACAGAGTTGGGAGGAATCTTGGAGGTCTTCTACTCCAACTCCCTGCTTACGCAGGAAACCCTACACCACTTCAGACAAATGGTTATCCAACCTCTTCTTAAAAACTTCCAGTGTTGGAGCATTCACAACTTCTGGAAACAAGTTGTTCCACTGATTAATTGTTCTAACTGTCAGGCAATTTCTCCTTAGTACTAAGTTGCTTCTCTCCTTGATTAATTTCAACCTATTGCTTCTTGTCCTACCCTCAGGTGCTTTGGAGAATAACTTGACTCCCTCTTCTTTGTGGCAGCCTCTGAGATATCTGAACACTGCTATCATGTCACCCCTAGTCCTTCTTTTCATAAAACTAGACATACCCAACAGCCTCAGAACTACATCTCCCAGCAGCCTCAGCTAGCATGGCCAATGGGGGGAAGGATACTGGAAGTTATAGGTTCAGCAACATTGGGCAGATTTTCTGTTCTGTAGAAGAAGAAAGAAAGGCATGTCTTAAACATTGCTTCAGAGAGGAAATACAGTACGAGATTTGGATTTTGAATTATGGATTATGAAATTTCTCTTTTGCGAAATGAAATGCCTGTGGAGGTTGCTCCGATAGCATTAGAGAGAGAGAAATTCATTTGAGCAAGATAAAGGATGGAATTAAGCCAAGGCAATTTTAAAAAAAAGTTAACTGGCATGGAGTTGGGTAACCTATTGGGCTAAATTGCAAGGTATTAGGATATGCAAACTAGTGTTTTCAACCAGAACTCAATCTTCCCCCAACCTCTATTGAACCTGCAAAATCTGATTCCTGAGACTCAGCTTAATGATCTCACCACAGGAGTAAATGAGAGTGTTGCTATTAGCAGAGCTTCACTGGGCTGCGCCTGTTTAAAGGATCTGGCCCCCACATGCATCCTTCTCTGATGTTGGAATTTTATTTCTCTACATTACTTTAAAGAAGAGGATTTTTTTTTCCCCAATCCAAAAGTATTATGTCGTTAATCTCTTTGATCTCTTCCTTTCTGATGTCCACCCACAGATGAAGCTCTGGTGTTTTTGCTTCACAGGTTATCAACAAACTAACTGAATTTGCAAAAGTCTGCTGCTCCCACCACATGTATATGCATACATGGAGTTTCTGTATTCATTTAATTATACATATGATTTCGGTAGCCAGCTATCTCATTCGATTGATTCTAGGTGGCTTGAAAAATTGAAACAGACAAAACAACCCAATAAAACTGCCCGACGCCCAAGATTAAATTGTTGACCCCACTCATCATCAGTAGTAGCAGAACTCATCTATCCCCTGACTCAAATGCCTAGAAAATAGCCAGGTCTTCAGTGCCATTCAACTCTATGTAAGGGATGATGTTCTACGTAACTTCTACCCAACTCCAACATTGTTTAATAGAAGGGACCTTCGATAACCTAATGGTTATGACACCAGCTCGCCAAACAGAAAGACCCAAATATTGCATGATGGGGGTGATCTCCCGTTCTTGCCCCAGCTCCTGCCAACCTAGCAGTTTGAAAACATGCAAGTGCAAGTAGATAAATAGGTATGACTTTGGTGGGAAGGTAACAGCATTCCGTGCACTTTGGTGTATAGTCATGCTGGCCACATGACCACGGAAGCATCTTTGGACAATGCTGGCTCCCTTGGCTAGGAAACAGAGATGAGCACTGCCCCCTAGGGTTGGACATGATTGGACAGGGAAAATATTTACTCCCCCCCCAACTTGTATATTAAATCTGGTGGGGTAGGCAGAAGCCATACAATAACTCTGTAAACCATTACTCAATAAGCAATCACATCTGGAAATATTTTTTTCAACCAGTTGACATTAAAGGCACTGGGTTACAAACTGGAAGACGAAGACTTCTAATCCTGTGTTTTAGGCACAGAGGCAGCTGTGTGACCTTCGGCCAGTCACTCTGTCTCCGCCCTAGGAAGCAGGCAATGGCAAACCATTTCCAGAGTCAAGATTCAAGAGTCAGGATTATCTCAAAGGCATGTCCACACACACAAATTGGTAGAGTGTCTATCGGATTATAGTTAGTGTTTAGAGCAGTGATGGCGAACCTTTTAGAGACCGAATGCCCAAACTGCAACCCAAATCACACTTATTTATCGCAAAGTGCCAACAGGGCAATTTAACCTGAGTAATGAGGTTTTACCACCTAAAATAATGATAAACAAGGCAGAGTTCAGCTAAATGTTCTAAGAAAAACGTGATAAAGGCACTTTTATGCCCCTTCGTTTTTTTTCCTGCTTTTGAAATATTACGTTTAGCAACAACAAAAAAGAAAAACTTTTGTAATATCATTTCTCTTTCCTCCCATCTCTCTTTTCCCCCTCTCTTTCTCCCTCTCTTTCCCTCCCGCTCTCTCTTTCCCTCCCTCCCTCTCTCTTTCCCTCCCTCCCTCTCTCTTTCCCTCCCTTCCTCTCTCTCTCGCCCTCCCTGTCTCCCCCCCTGCGGGAGAAACGTGATGGAGCTGGGCTGGGGCATGCCCATAGAGAGCGCTCTGGCGTGCCACATGTTTGCCACCCCTGGCTTAGACTGTCTATAGGACTGTAGCTAGTGCTGTCATACTTTTCTAGCTTCTTTGAATAGAACAGATAATGGGAATTACCGTAGGTTATTATTTATGCCTACGTTTATACTTTGTTTTTTTTTTCTCCAAGTAGGTCAGAATAGCAGAAGTATTTTCCTCCCCCACCCACCACCCACCCCCGATTTCAACTATTCTGTTGAATAAAATAGGACATAAAAGGCCTGAGGTTTAGATTAGAGGTAGAAGATCTGCCAGCCTCACTTTCTACAAGTTTCTAATTCTTTTTATTTTCATAAAGATAAACCTGCTACATTAAACTGGCTTCTACATCCGTTTTGCATATATTTGTGTAGGCTTCCTTCTGTTACCCAATTTTGCATATTGTCTTACCTAACATACTTTCTCTTGCTTGGTGTGAGAAATGAGTACATTTTACACGAGCTGTATTACAAAATTCAGAGAAGTGTGAAAATGAAAAGATAATTGTGTCCCGACCCATATAATAGTTTTGTGAATTGTGAGTTATCTTGTAACATGTTATGGAACATTGAATGTCTTTCTTCCATACTTCTGGGTTAGAAGTGTCTCAACATAACTACCCTCGTGTTTATTCAATGATTACACCATTCTTGCTCTTAAATTCACAGGGTCCAAGTCCATGGTTTTATAATGTTTTCCTAACTGGAATTATGCAGTACTTCTTGAGCTATTTATTTTTCTTCCCCTACCACCCGTTACGAGATGTGATTACATTTTGAATAAAGGATTAATGGCATCTTTAGATCACTTTGCGCAATAGACCTTTTTTAAGAATTTACAGGGAGTAACTTAATCAGTTGTACTGTAGATCTTTGTCACAATTACCTTATCACTGTCTGGAACCCTTTTGCTATAACTTAATTCTTCCTAGACAGGAACTCATTATTTTCAGAACTTAGTTGCCACAGCTGAAAACAGCTGCCCTCTTTTTTAAAAAACAAAACGAAACAAAAACAAGACTTTCATGAAATGGTTGCTCCTATATAATTTAGGCTTTTTGAGAAGTAGGTAATAAGTCACCTCCCTTTTGGACTGCAAAAACCAAAAGCCACCTCCTGCATCAACCAACGGCTTATCTTAGGGGTGACCAATTTTTCAGGCCTCTGGTGTCATTATGCAATCTAATTTCACTAGTTGTAGATCAGTGATGGGTTTCAAAAATTTTCGCTACCAGTTCAGTGGGCGTGGCTAGATGGGGAGGCATGTGACTGAGTGGATGTGGCCAACTTGATGACATCCATGCCCACTCAGTCACATGACAACCCCCCTCCCCACATAGCCACACCCACAGGAAAACGTAGGATTTTTTTTGGAATTTCCACCTATCTACCCCCGCCCTCCCTTCACCAGTTGCCCCTATTTCCCCTCCTTTAGTGGTGCCGGCCCTAGCCCCACTTCCTCCCCCACCACCGCCACTTTGTTTGGGCTGCTTACCTTCCGCGGCGGCTGGTCCAGAGTCCGTAAGGCAAGCTGACCGGAGTTTTCGGCGGCCCCCAGCCAGCCGCCACTATTGGAAAGTGGCTGGCAAAGAAGCCTTTCAGAACCACTTTGTAGCTGCGGCGGCTGTCCTCAGGCCACTGAAAAATACCGGAGGTCGCGGAAAAAGCTGCTGCTGTCGCTGCCATGTTCTTCGCGCATGCGCATCCCATTGGACTTGTAAGGCAATGGGATGCGCGTTTGCAAAGAACATGTGGCGACGAACATGGCAGGTGGGGCAAGCGAGCAGCGACCTTGGGACCGGTTTGGGGGTGTGGCCAGCTGGCCATCGCTACCGGTTCGGTGACCTTGGCCAAATTTCCACCAGCGGTTCGCACGAACCAGTGCGAACTGGTTGATACCACCTCTGTTGTAGATGTTGAAAAATATTGGCAAGTTCATCCCGAGTTCACATGTAACAGTGTTGAAATCTCACATAAAGTTTCAGCTCCCCCCTTTTTAAACCATGGCTAATTTGAATTAAATTTTAATCAAGTGAGGGAAGGGAGATAGCTTGCTATCTGCAGGTACAATATTGAATTATTGTTTCCCATAATGGCCAACCAGGGTTTTTCAAGTTAAAACCACAAGTGAGGGAAGTGAGGTACCCTGCTAGCTGCAGGTACAATATTGAGCTATTGTTTCCCATAATGGCCAACCAGAGTTTTCAAGTTAAGATCACAGCCAAGGTGAAATAATCTTCTCCCAGGACCACTGTCCAGCAGCTCTTTTTATTATGTTATTATTTTATTAAAAGCATTTATAAACAATTCACTATATAAGAGAACTTGGGATGGGTTGCAATCCATGCCACCCAATGTAGTAAGCAGTTAGCTAAAATACGGAATAACAAACAACGCTAGCCAAGGAGCACTTAGTAGAGAATAAAACACAATCAGATTGTATAGGACATCATTGACTTACAACCACAATGGGGGCCCAAATTTCCATTGTTAAGCAAGCTGGTTGTTAAGTGAGTCCTTCCCAATTTTGCATCTTTTGTTGTTGTTGTTAAATGAATGACTGCAATTAAGTCAATTATACAGTCATTAAGGGAATCCAAATTCCCCCATTGTCTTTGCTTGCTGGAAGCCAGCTGGGAAGGTTGCAAATGGCGATCACATGACCCTGGCATGCTACAGTCATTGTAAATACATGCTAGTTGTCAAGTGCCAAAATTTAGATCACATGACCATGGGGATGCTGGGATGCTTCTACAGTATGTGCAAGGATCAAGTTATAAGTCATTTTTTTCCAGTACCATTGTAACTTCAAATGGTCACTAAATGAATGGTTATAAGTCAAGGACTACCTGTAGATAGTAGGCCAACAGCAGGAGAGCAGAAATCAGGTGCCCAAAGTCAAATAATGCCAGCTTGATGTGGCTTCCACTGAAAGGGTATTCGAAACCTGTGGCTTATACTGGAAGGGTATTCCAAGCCGGATTCCCACATCAAAGCCATTTTTCCCCCAAATAACCTGACTCTCCCCAATATCGGCTAATGAGAAGGGTCCTTTGCACATGTTAACATTATCCCATTACAAGACTAGAACTCCAATTGCAGTACCAGCAGTAGCACAGAAGCCAAAAATATTCTGTTGGCCACAAGGATGAATATTACACTCTTATACCAAAGAGAACTAAAGATAAGCCAGTTCAAGTTTCTTTTTAAATATTCCCTTCTTTTCCTGAGCTTAAACCGTATTGCGCTCCCCATTTCGTTCAGTTTCCAAGGTTCATCTCTAATTTTCTATCCAGGCCAATATTTTTCCATCTTTCTACATTAACTTTAGCAGGATAAAGTTTGCATGTCACTCACTCTCTTGTTTTCCCTTTCTTTAAAGGAACAGTACCACTTCTGCTATGACATAGTCCTGGAACATCTGGATTCACTAGAGACCAGATAGCATCTTGTCCAAGCATCCCAAAGGCAAGTGTTTGTATTGGGTTTGGGCCAAACCTGCATTTTGCACCCAAACTTTTTTTTTTTGAATTAGAGTGAGAGAGAGAGAGAGAGAGAGAGAAAACAAAGCAATGCAATGGAATAAAAATGAAAAAAAAGGCAAGATACAAGGACTATGTTGTTCATTCTCTACCTTCATTTTTGTTCCTCTCCTCCTCCTCCTCCTCCTCCTGCTTCTCCAGTTGCCAGCAGAGCAGAGCCTATACAAACTCAACCCCATGTACACAGTGTTGTGCATATGCCAGCCATGAGTTTGATATCTGCGTGTCATTTCTATGTATATGGATACTGGAGTGTGCGGAATGGGCATCTCCGGTAGGTCTCTTTGTGACGCTAAGACTCATCGGCTGGAAAGAACCCAGCACTACAGACAGCAGACAACAAGCAAAATCCAGCCTCTGTCTCAACACGGTCACAGGAGATTGGAAGAAGCAATGGGATTTCTTCTGAAAGCTTAAGATGCTTTCTGGGCAGCAAAGATCAGCTTGCAGTTGTCATTCTTTGGGAAAGCAACGTGGGACTCAAAACGCTCATCGGACTTGTACAGTTTTCATTCTCTCTTTATAGCCACCTCTTTCTTGTCTCCAAATGAGTGCCTGCCTCCAAAGAGAGTTTGTAAATTGCTATGTGGCAGGAAAACTGCTGTAAGAAACAGAACAAAACCCCAGTCATCTAAGATGAAAGAAAGCACACGGGCATCTTTCTTTCAAATTAAGGTGGTTCAGATGTTCTCCATAACCATCGTAACCATATATACACCGGGGTGTTTTGTTACAAACAAGCTTTGGAAGAGCCTTACTTAGACCATAGAATCTAGGATTGGAAGAGGCCTCGGAGGTCTTCTAATCCAGCCCTCTGCTCAAGGCAGGAGACCTTAGACCATCCAACTCAAATGGTTGTCCAGTCTTATGTTTGAAAACCTCCAGTGTTGGAGCACCCACAATTCCACAGGAGCAAGTTATTCCATTGATTAATTGTTCTCACAGTCAGAAAAAAAAATCAGAATAATGGTGTCTGCAGCTGCAGCCCCTGTCAGGCATCTTTCCAGGTAGGAGTCCCTAACCATAAAACTTCCTCAATAGTGCAAACCCCTTCAACAACTTTGCCACAAGAACTCATGCACAGATGCAGACTTCATAGATCACCAACTAGCATGTAAGCCAGAAGAGAATCAGTTCATAAGAATGATTAAACAAAGGGGCATGAGTGAGTAAGGAAAGGTACCATCAATCCAGATAATTCTGTTTTAGAGTCAAGTGTAGACTTTCCTGTGTATGCTGGTGGCGGTTTTGGAATGAAAACGCAATGACAAATAGCTGTTTTCGGCACTTATGACTAATGTGGTAGGAAAACGTTGGGTGAGCTGGTTGGGTTTGCTGGAATAAGTAGCTTTATATTGTCTTTGTGCAGTTTGGCTTGGAGTCAGAATTTGCAGGAGTTAGTGTTGAAAGATGCCAGCATAAGAATATGAAGGATGGGCAGGTATGTTTTTATAAGAATCCAAGACCTTGGATCTCATTTCTTTCTTTTGCTCCATCAGCCAAGCTAATCAGATTATTTCTACATCTCCCACTCTTGGTGCAAGGTTCTGTTGAGATAATTAATAGAGGAGCTTTTAATGCAGAATAGCATTAGATCAGGGGACGTGCTCTGCATGAAAATTGAGGTGTGCCATTCATTTATTTAAAGAGCCACAGACACTCCAGATAGGCTTAGCAAATTTTTACCAAACGTGGAGGACCTGCCTGTTCAAAACGTTTGGCCATTTCACTTAAAAAGCCCAAAGCCTCCAATTTTCAGGCAACAGGATGCGGACAAGTGCATGTGCAAAAGTTTTTTTTTTTTTTTTTTTACAAAAAAAGCAGAATTGTTAATGTGCCTTTGTGTCCTTTATGAAATGCATCACACTAATGTAAATGAATGGTCTTCAGCTGGAGCCATAATGAGGAAGTAAACAGCATCGAAGTGGCAGTTGTCATTCAAATGATTGAAACCCTGCCCCTTTTTGGTACACGAGATCAGGGGTGTGCTTCAAAAATTTTAGCAAGGGGTTCTCTGCCCGGTTGCTGGGTGGGCATGGCCATGGTGGGCGTGGCCTAGTTGGCCTCCTGCACCATGGCGGGGTGGTGGTTGTGTTTTTGCCCTCCCCGGGTTCTGGAGGCTTTCCTTGAGCCTCCGAGAGAGCGAAAACTGCCTCCCCAGGCTCCGGAGGCCCTCTGGAGGCCAGAAACAGGCCCTTTCCAAACTTCCGGTAGGCCCGTTTTTCGCTCTCCCCAAGCCTCCATATGCACCCTACACTTACCTGCATCCAAAACGGGCTGTGTGGGGATTCCCGGGAGGGGCGGGGTGGGCCGGGCCAGCCAGGAATGGGATTTGGAGGTTCTCTGAACTGCACAGAATTAATTAGAGGTTCTCCTGAACCCCTGCGAACCCACAGCAGCCCACCCCTGCACGGGATGCATAAAGCACATTTTAAAAAAGAGAGGGCTTCAGGTGCCTGGTGGCACTCATGATTTTGATCCCCTTCCTCATGAAACTCTGGATTTCAGGCCATGAATCTTTTTTTTTCTTTTTTTCTAATTACTTTTAGTCCTGTCAACAAAGAGCATTAGTCACTGTCTTGATAGATGCAGTAAAGGAAGACGATTCTTCTAGGTCAGGATATTGATTGAATTAGCCAAGGGAAAGAAGATCCGTTGGTTCACAGAATAGATATAGAGATGATGCATTCCTTCTGGGGGGAAAATGGGTGAAAAAGAAGCATCAGTATGAACGGAAACTCAGGCCAATACTTTTAGGTATAACATGGCAGCTTACATTATTTCATGCATCTTCCAGTTTGGTATGGGAATGTGGTGGCTCAGTGGATAAGATGCTGAGCTTGTCGACTGAAAGGTCGGCAGTTCAGTGGTTCGAATCCCTAGTGCCACGTAACGAGGTGAGCTCCCGTTACTTGTCCCAGCTTCTGCCAACCTAGCAATTTGAAAGCACGTAAAAAATGCAACTAGAAAAATAGGGACCACTTTGATGGGAAGGTAACAGTGTTCTGTCCGCCTAGGGCATCTAGTCATGCAAGCCACATGACCACGGAGACGTCTTCGGACAGTGCTGGCTCTTCGGCTTCGAAACGGAGATGAGCACCGCCCCTAGAGTTGGGAACAGCTAGCACATAGGTGCGAGGGGAACCTTTACCTTTACCAGTTTGTATTTTCTGGATTTTTTTTTTTTGCCCAAATGTCACATTTCAAGACTTTTTGGGAAGAAGAGAAAGGAAAGACCATGGCCATCAGTGAGACCTGCTGTTTTGGATGCAGTCTCTTCCTTTTTTGGGGGAGGAGAAAGGGGGGGATTTAAAGCTTTTTCCTCCTCAGTGAACTCTGGGGAAAGTGAAATGACCCCACTCCAGAAGTAGCAGCCAAATATAGTAGGGCAAAGAGATAAAGAGATATGGAAACATTCAGACGGAAGATGAATGTGTATCATAACATAAAGTGTTAATCAATGTAATCCCAAATGGGTGATTGGACAGAAAGTTCTTTGCAAGAGCTAAATTGAGAAACATCTTAGGTGACAGAGCAAGAATTGATTAAAAAGAAAAAAAAAAGACTAGATTTTGCTTCCAACTTAGGTGCCTCTTAGAAGACCTAAGACATTACTTTTCAAGTACTCCAAGAAAGTTTGAGAGGGCAATCCTAGATATTTGTAGCTAAACACAATGATAATGTATGTGATGATTTTTGTTACTGATCCCAAGGTCCGAGGCAAATATGTAAGTCATAGGTAAGTCAAGCATTGTCAGATACTACATGTTTCATCACTTGATGCTATCTATGTATGAAGCCAGTGTGGAAAAGTAAGAATGGAATTGGTTCAATATATATCGTATTTTTTGGAGTATAAAATGCACTTTTTTCCCTCCTAAAAGAGGCTGAAAATTTGGGTGCATCTTATACTCTGAATGTAGCTTTTTCAAAGCTTTTTTTCAGCCCTGACGAGGCGCTAGCGAGTGAAGCGATCTTTGCCTGCTCCCTCCGACTCTCAGCTCTGCTTTAGAAGCTTTTTTTCAGTGAAGCGATCTTCCGTGTTTTGCCTGTTCCCTCCGACTGTCAGCTGTGAAGTTTTTTTCCAGCCCTAAGGAGGCACTAGCGAGTGAAGCAATCTCCGTGGCTTGCCTGCTTTTCTCATTGCTTCTCTCTCCAAAGATCAATTGTGCTTTAGAAGCTGTTTTTTATCCCCAAGCAGGAGATAAAAACCAGCAAACGAATGTGCTGAAGCTGACCAGGCTAAAGACACTAGCCAGATGAATATCTGGTAGGCAGATTTTTTTCCCCCTATTTTCCTCCCCAAAAACTAAGCTGCATCTTATACACCGGTGCGTCTTATACTCCGAAAAATACAGTAGTTAAGAGACAATCATCAGAGGCCCAGGTATAACATGTAGTTGTGCCAGATTCAACTAAGTCAGCAGAATGGAATTATCGAAAGGTAGAACAGATGGGTAGAACAGAAACAGAAGGGCCGTCCTTTTTCGTTTCCTTCCTCCTGTGGATGTGAAGTGAAGATGAAGATTGATTAATGGGACTAGCAACATGTAGTGTCTTGCGTTTAAAGCAAAGACAGATGCGATGTGTGCTTTTGCAGAGTTTGTACAGCTAGAGCATTAAAAGGGCTAAGCCTGGAGTACAATTTCATATAAGTACAGAATATGGGAGCTTGGAGAAATATTCTGCTGGTGGAAAGTCACATTTTTCATTGTGAAAAAAGAAGAAGTTCTAGCTTTAATGATTGGTGAACTTTAAATGGTATACTTGGAAATATCTTTGAAGTTGAAGACCACATATCTTAAAGTTGCCAAGGTTGAGAAACTTTGGTGTAGAAGTTTCCCCTCTCAGTAAACCCTTGGGAATTTCTCAATACAGTGGTACGTCGGTATTCAACTGCTTCAAAACTCATCAAATTTGGTACCCAGAACCAAACAGAACAGAATAACAGAGTTGGAAGGGACCTTGGAGGTCTTCGAGTCCAACCCCCTGCTCAGGCAGGAAACCCTATACCATTTCAGACAAATGGTTGTCCAGTCTCTTCTTAAAAGCTTCCAGTGTTGTAGCATTCACAACTTCTGGAGGCAAGTTGTTCCACTGATTAATTGTCCTAACTGTCAGGAAATTTCTCCTTAGTTCTAGGTTGCTTCTCTGTTCTGACCTAGGCTTCCCCAACAGCATGAAGCCGAGGACTCGTCCCGATAAACCCCTTTTATTTAATTTACAGTGAATTCCTCTCCAGCAATGTCTTTCCTCTCCCACAGTCTTTCAAGATAGTTCACAATTACCGAGGGTGGACAGGAAGTCGGCCATGCTGGGAAGGTCACTGACAAAGAAAAAAGGATAGGCAGAAAGTTTTTCCCAGCCAAAACAAAGGTCATATGGTAAGTCACCTGATTTATTTGGCACTTGTATTTTTTAATACCCGTCGTACCTCCCAGAACCAATTAACATTGAATACTGCGGTACCAGTGTAATGGGATGTACTTCTAATTGGAGAAACCCTCTTTTTGGTGGGGTTGATTAGCTAATGCTAATACCTTTAAAAGGTTTGAAGAGGCACATTGTGATGCAATTCTCATGTATCATATTCTCTCAAGGAAAACAAGGTGAAGGGTTTTTATATATATATAAAATTTTATTAGAAAGCAAGGTGCTTTTTTCAGGGCGATTGAAGCTGAATAACCTGTGTGGTGCTTATTTTCAAGATATGTATCTATTTGTAGGTGATAGAGCAAGGGAGGCCACTTTTAAAGAATGGTTATATTTGAAATGTCTATTTCACATCTTCTTTTACAATTTCATTACAGCCAGTCAGTTTTGAGCATAACATTCCCCAGTTTTGCAATCTTCAGATATGTTGGCATTACAGTGCCTAAAATTCTGAACCTGCTGGTTATAAGACCTGGGAGCTGTAGTTTCACTGTCTCTGGAAATGGTCAGAGTTGGAAATGACTGTTTCTCAGATTCCATGAGATGTTTGTTGTTTTTAAGTTCAAATCTTTAATACAATCTTTGACCATCTTTTACAATAAAAAAATACAGTTTGACATAACAATTCATTATTAGGAAAGGGGAAGAAACAACAGGGCTATAAATTGATATATCTAACTGAAAGTTTTGCACAGTTGTATACCTTGGTGAAGATATTTGGCCATCTGAAATGCAAGTATGTGGTTAGCATCCCTTAAAAAAATAATAAGCATAAAATTTATCAGTGTGGGTCTCATATTTGGAAGTGATTGAGGCAATCAGAGGACATCTTGGAGTATCATTAAAAAGCACCCTGAATGAGGTCATGGGTTTCCTCCTCCTTGAATCAACAAGGGCAAAGTCTCTCCGAATTAAGGACTCCCATGAAATCTTCCAGCCAGTAGAGCTGATGGGAGGGAACCAAAGCAGGCTCTGGAAAAGGCCCATCTATATTTGCTTTGGGTTAGATTGTATAGAAGGGTGTGATGGCTCAGCAGTTAAAGACACTGAGTTTTGTCAGCTGGAAAGCTGACAGCCTGTGTTCGAGATCCACGTGCCACACGACAGGGTGAGCTCTTGTTACTTGCCCCAGCTCCTCCCCACCTAGCTGTTCGAAAGAATGCAAATGTGAGTAGATAAATAGGTACCACTTTGGTGAGAAGGTAAGAGTGCCCTCTGCATCTCAGCTTATAGTCATGCTGGCCACATGACCACGGAAATGGTCTTCAGACAACACTGGCTCCCTCGGCTAAGAAATGGGGATGAGCACTGCCCCCTACAGTCAGATACAACTTGGCAGGGGAAAACTTTTATCTTTACCTAGGTTGTAGAGATACCCTGCAGTAGAAGACTGGTGTCTGTCTCACATTTGGCGATAAAGAGCACCGCTGGTATCATTTTGATGATCAATGTCCCTGATTCTCTCTTGTGCTATTGATTTGGCTTTCTCCGGGGTTAAATGGTATAAATATTCAGGAGAGAGATCAAAACTACAAAGTTTTGCTGGACAGAAATGGTGCCAATGAGATTGGCAGCTGTCTGACAACAGCAGAGGCATCAAGTCTGCAGGGTCAAACATACTCTGGTTTCTCTTCAGCTGGTATAAATCTTTTTGTCTTTGAAAGGCATTTAAAAAGAACAACCACCAATGAAATAACCAACTAAATAGTCTAAAGATCAACTTGTCTGTTGTGCAAGAACTGATCTACACTGTAGAAGTACTTAACTTTACAAACAGGATATGGTCCAACACAGAAAGAGAGGCACTCATTTCACTTGTGAGTCTATTTTAAAAGCTCTTTTTTATGTTACTGCTCCTACTCAGAATACCGACATTATTCCATGGGTAAGATATCGGTTTCTGAACACAGAATCCATTGCTTTCATTATCGCATCACCTGAGCTGCTATTTTGAGAGGTGTTACCAGAGCTTACATTTCCTGACTCAAAAGTACATACCGTAAGAGCTTCTAAATGAGTCACTTCTTCCCCTGTGGCTTAACTTGAAGTCTCGGGAAGAATATTCCAGTCCTCAAATCCATCTTTTCTACACACACCTCTTTTACCATGGAGAGGCTGATGGGATGAAGACAGGAGATCTCTTTAGCTGTTCAAATCAAAATTGTTCTATAAGTTCCAGTATAAAAGATTGAGGAACTTGTGCTTCTCCCTTGTATACATTATTGGACACCATTTCCCATTATCTCCGGCCAGCATAGCCCATGATGGCAAGATGTAAGTGTTCCCACATCCTCCGTTGCATTTTCCTAAATAGGAACGTCCACAAGGGAATTATTTATGGTCCAGTTGATAATTCCATTAGAAAGTTTTCCTGATGGAGGTCACCAAATTTAGTCAAGTAATGATATGAGGATTGATTGGGAATGAGATGGGTCTATGGATATATTTGTTTGACCTGTTGTCTTGAAACAAACAATTCTGCATTGAGGAAGAAATAGTTCTAAAAGAAAAACACACACTTTGTTTTAAAGAATTATGAGTCACATCACTTTGCAAGAACCATTCTTGTCTCTTCAGCTATTATCAGGAAAATACCTCTTTTAAGAAAGCAGCTGCCACCTGCATGCATATACACACACTATATGGTATTATCCATTATGCTCGAGTTTTCTTGCATTTTAGGGGGAAAAAAACCATATTTCAAAGATTTAAGTGTACCTATTAGAACGCCAGTCCCTCAGCTGGAAATGATAGATGTGTATAAGAAGATAGAATGGATCCTCTATGAATGTAGTCACAAAGTGGAAGAAATAAGAGTTTTTTTCCTGTTTGGAAACTGTCCAGAGTACAAGAGATGAGAGAGTTTGGGATTTGGAAATAACACAGATAAATAATACAGAGCCTGGTCAACACATTTTAAGACAGGCATTGACCAAATGGAGATGATGTTCACCAGAATGAAGGAAAGTTTTTTGAAAAGTCCTGTGAAGAATAGTTGAAAGAATTGCCTACATTTAATCTGAAGGGGAAAAATAACAAGAAGAAGAGAGATCAAGAGGGGGTGGGGGGGAAAGGACTTGCACGGCACTTAGATGCCTCACAAATAATAAAGACTAAATTGTAGACTATAAAACAGGGGTCTCCAACTTTGACATCTTTAAGACTTGTGGACTTCAACTCCCAGAGTTCCTCAGCCAGCAAGTCTTAAAGTTGCCAAGGTTGGAGACCCTGTTATAAAAGATACGACAGATAAACTTCAATTCTACCTTACAAAACACAGATCATCATTACCGCCAATGAAGCTGAATGACAAGGAAGCAAATTTTGGGAAGAAATTTCTTGAGGGATATAGCAATAACAATAACACTTAGACATATATACGGTATATCGTCCCTTAATGTTTTACGGCACTCCCTGAGCAATTTACAATGTCAGCATATTGCCCCCAAACAATCTGGGACCTCATTTTACCAACCTTGGAAGCATGGAAGGCTGGGTCAGTCCTGAGCCTGTCAGGATCGAATTCCAGACTCTGAGCAGTTTGAAGGGAAATATTTGCCTGCAGTATGGCATTCTAACCACTGCGCCAGGAGGGCTCCTATGAGATTTCTCAAGAATGTTTGGTTTCAAAGATTGAAGGAGGGAATGTACAGACATTTTTTTGAGAATGTTGCAGTGCTTGCACAGGAAAAGGGACTTCTAGGTTATCATCTCTGACTCAAAATGATTTGAAGATGCGCTGTTATGATATCAAATGGGGGAAAACTCCATCTTAAATGTGAGATAGTTTGCAATTTCCAACTCAACACACCTGCCCTAGAGAATAATGCAGGGGTCTCCAGTCTTGTAATTTTAAAACCCGTGGCCTTCAACTCCCAGAATTCCTGAACCAGCCATGTTGGCTGGGGAATTCTGGGAATTGAAGTCCACAAATCTTATTGGAGAGCCCTGGAATAATGGGCGCACATAGGAATGGTGCGCTCACCCATTTATGTTATGCAGATGAATAAGTAAAAGCAACATTATTGAGTAGATTTCTTTCCTAAGGAAGGAACAACATGGCAACAGATATACAGCTAAAGAATCCAGCTGTGTTTCCATTTTAAGAGAACAACTAATCATGGCCACAATGTTTTAAGATTTTCTGACCTCTTCTTGTTCCATCTTAACGGAACTGATCTTTCCAAATTCCTGTATGACAAGGACTCAAACTGCCCTTCTTCAAATATTGTATAAAAAGCAGCGCTCGGCTTTCTGTTAGCTATTGCATTTCACCAAGTGTTGCAACACTGTTTATGAAATTTAAATGTGTATTTTGAAAAGAAAATGTACATTTTAAATCTATTTTGAAAAGAAATGTGTATTTAAGTACATATTTTGAGAAGATTTTTTTTTTTACAAAAAGCCCTGCAAATCAGTGCATACGTGGAATAGGATCCTAAATTTAAAAAAAAATGTGAAATTGGCATGAAACGGAAATAAAAGATTGTCTATTTGTATTGACTCTGTGCTAATAATGGGATAGAGGAATACTCCTTCTTTAAGTAACTTGTTGATTTGCTTCATTCATAAATTATCACTGACGAAAGAAATCGATTTAATTGGAGCAGGGACCAGCTGGTCGGTCATGTGATTCTGTTAGGCTGACGTAACCTGTGAAAATGCAGGGGGAAAAAAGAATTTCCAGGGATGAGTAAAACACAGAGCTGATTTTGTCTGTGAATATAAATGTCAAATGCCTTCATTTTCGATCAATCAGTTGCTGTATCTCATCATTCGGTCACCTTGTATCCTTTGGTCCACCGCAGTGTGAAAACTCAATGTTTCTTTCGTACTTAAGGAAAAGTTCAAAAGTCAACATATTTACATTCCAAATCAGGTTCATGTTGCAGGACATTTAATTTTTCAAAAAGTGGTTTTTGTTTTCCCTCACTCAACAAGGGCAAGCGTTTCTTTTTTTAAAAAAAAATCCAAAGTGCTCTCAAAAGCATCAACTCTTCCTCCAAAATGCTCATCCTGTCTATAAATGTGTACAGAGATCTTTGTATATAGAGATAAACATTATCCATATTAATAACAGTGTACATATTTATCAGTATTACAAATTCCATGGTGCTCCCCCCTTCCTTCTTATTAAGAAGTCAGTGAAATAAAGCATTTTCAACTGAAGACAAGGGCCACCAAAATGTTATCCTTTGGGGTCTGTTGTTGGTTTGCTGTGGCTTTCATGAACACTTTTGCAAGAAGGTCCATGTAGCAGATGGGTTAAACATTGACTTGTGTCTTTTGGCCCTACTTTGGGGCAAGCTCTTCATCAGCCACTAGAAATGCCTTACGAGCAAAGTTGCTTGTTCCATCAACTTTGAGAGGTGAAGAAGAGAGAGAAGTCCATAATAGGAAACAGGGTTCCACAGGAGATGCCAATCTTCCCTTCCCACCATCTCTGGGGCAGTATATGTTGTTTTTTTTTCTTTTATTGATCTTTCAAGGCAATGTTTGACAAATAAAATAAAATACATGTTTGGAAATGACCATGACTTTTGATTGTCTTCCACTATATGATACATTAAGGCAAAACATCTTGTGAAAGTACCGAATTCTTTGTCTATGGAGATTCTCAGAGCCATCGAAGTCATGGTGGTCCCAAAGGTGCTTTTTCCAAAAGGCAATTTGGACTTTGTTTTTCCTTGAAGACGTTTCGCTTTTCATCCAAGAAGCTTCTTCAGTTCAGTTGATGAACTGAAGAAGCTTCTTGGATGAGAAGTGAAATGTCTTTGAGGAAAATCAAAGTCCAGTTGCCTTTTGGAAAAAGCACCTTTGGGATTGCCGAATTGTTTGCTGTTAATAATGAAATTCCATGGAAATAGTTATGGGTTAAATCTGGTGAAATCCAAATTTTTTTACTACCAGTTCTGTGGACGTGGCTTGGTGGGCGTGGCAGGGGAAGGATACTGCAAAATCTCTGTTCCCATTTCAGGGGAAGGATATTGCAAAATCCCCATTCCCTCCCCACTCCTGGGGGAAGAATAATGCAAAATCCCCATTCCCTCTCCACTCCATGGGAAGGATACTGCAAAATCCCCATTCCCTCCCCACTCCTGGGGGAAGAATATTGTAAAATCTCCATTCCCAACCCACTCTGGGGCCAGCTAGAGGTGGTATTTGCCGGTTCTCCGAACTACTCAAAATTTCTGCTACCAATTCTCCAGAACCTGTCAGAACCTGCTGGATTTCACCCCTGGTTTAAATATGTTATATGGATGGAGGACTATGTATCAAATTCACACAGATGGAGAATAAGCCATGGAAACTCCCACACATTTACCTGAATTTCGAATCATTGAAAATAACAAGCTGATATCTTATCCTCCTCTAGCTTTTGTTGCTTATATTGGTGCAGCAAAATAATCCCTTGGTTACATTTTTAGTATTTTCACTCCACAAAGGCTATTATTAAGAAGTTGGTTTCCACTGCTACCTTATTCATATTGGTATTATTTTCAGGGAGCATTTTATATTGCATCCTGTAATAACAAATATCATGTAATTTTAGAGATTTACACTCTGCCTTTTCAAACAAAACTTAATAGGCTGATGTTACTTAACAAAAACATGTGAAAACTTGTTAACAAAAATTCATATATAGGTAGTCCTTGAGTTGCAACAGTCCATTTAGTGACTGTTCGAAGTTACAACAGCACAGAGAAAAGTGATTTAGGACCATTTTTCACAATTACAACTTTTGCAGCATCCCCGTGGGCATGTGATCAAAATTCAGACACTTGACATCCGACTCATATTTATGACGGTTGCAGTTTCCTGGGGTCATGTGATCATCTTTTGCAACCTGACAAGCAAAGTCAACGAGGAAGCCCGATTCAGTGAACAACTGAGGAACTAATTTAACAACCGCAGTGGTTCACTTAACAACTGTGGCAAGAAAGGTTGCAAAATGGGGCAAAATTCACTTAACAAACGTCTCACGAAGCAACATAAATTTTGGGTTCAGGTGTGGTCATACGTCAAGGACTACCTGTCATAGGCCAACTATGGGAGAACTTAAAAACAGAAAAAAGCCAAACTAACACTAATAGTGTACTACCACTAACTATAAAACTCACTATGGAATTGTTTCGGAGAATGTAATGATCTTTGTCGGATGCCAGATGAACTTTGTGAGATACCTGAATTTTGTTCACATTCAACATAGATATGGTTACCTAGGTGATTGTTGTGGTCCGCCAGCAGCCTGTGGCACTGGCAGCAGAGTAGGACAGTGAGGAGGCTGGGGAGGAACATGGGCCAGTCCTAGAGTCTGGGTAAGGCTCGGATGAAGGTTCTGCATTGGAGGCAGAGAAAGGGCCATCTGGGAGGTATGTGCTCCCTCTGGAGCCTCCAGAGTTGGACCTCAGCGAGGCAGAGAAACAGGGGGAGCCTGTTCCCAGTGCACGCATGCGCAGAGCTGCCAGAAGGCAAGAACAGCTAAAACAAAAGGGACGACCCGGGGTGTAGGGCCGGAAGATGCTTGGCCCCTCCCATAAGACTTAAAAGAGGAGCAAAGGCACGTGGGCCTTTGCAGGAAGCAACGTTTGTTGATTCTGTGCAGTTTAAAGCCTGAAGCTCTGTTTGATTCTGGACTCCGTGTGGCTTTGCCAATTAGGTCTTTGGCAGCGTGTCAAGGGAGATAAAGGTGGATGATTATCCCAAAGAACTTCTCCAAAAGAACTCTTTACAACGAATTGGGACTCATCTGTGAATGAACAGAATTCACAACTGTTGCAATAAAAGAGATTTTTGGGTCTACTTGTGTGTTTTAATGACTCAGGAAGCCTAGGTCAGAACAATGATCTCAGATGAGACAAATTTTAGGTAGTTCACAAAGAATGGCTGTATGCTAAGCCACAGATCAACATAAAATGAAAATCACTCCTAGATGACATCTAGTCACAACCATCACTGCCACCAGCATCAATCAATCCTGTGCTATTTAATCTTAGAAGCAGAGGTGGTATTCAGCTGGTTCAGACAGGTTCGCCCGAACCGGTAGTAGAAATCACGAGTGGGCTGGCCTACCCGCCCCGGCTCTATGCCATCCTATTTAGGCATGTTTTTGAGGCCAGGTGCATGTGCGGAAGGAGCATGCACCAGCAAAGCGCATGCGCGGAAGGCCGGGTGCATGCATGGAGCACACATGCTCACATTTGCGAACCGGTAAGGAAAGTAAGTGAATACCATCCCTTCTTAGAACACCAAGATTTTAACTAAGTTGCCTAATAAAGTAGGATTTTATTTGATGCAAGAGACTGTGAGGAGGTTGGAAAAATCACTAGATATAAACAACTAAGGAAGGGACAGAAGCTTAATTTGGAGCCTCCCTCTTAAAGGGAAGCTCAGTCAGTTTGTAAAAAGTCCAGGAAGAAGAGATTTAAATCATTCATTCATTCATTCATTTTGTGTAGCTGCCCATCTCCTGCGCGAGCTGCACTGGCTCCCGGTGGTCTTCCGGGTGCGCTTCAAGGTGTTGGTTATCACCTTCAAAGCGCTCCATGGCATAGGGCCTAGCTATCTTCGAGACCGCCTGCTGCTACCGACGACCTCCCATCATCCCGTGCGCTCCCACAGAGAGGGCCTCCTCAGGGTGCCATCAGCCAGACAGTGTAGGCTGGTGACCCCCAGGGGGAGGGCCTTCTCTGTGGGGGCACCTACCCTCTGGAACCAACTGCCCCCAGAGATAAGGAGAATCCAGGACCTCAGTGCCTTCCGTCGTGCCCTTAAAACCCATTTTTTCAAGCAAGCCGGGCTGGCTTAAGATGAAATTTTTAATTGTTTTTAAATGTTTTAAACGTTTTAATTGGTAATGAGTTTTAATTGGGCCAAATTTATATATCTTTTAATTGTTTTTTTTTTATATATTTGTCCTGCATGTTTTTTAATTTTGGCTGTACACCGCCCTGAGTCCTCAGGGAGAAGGGCGGTATAGAAATTCAATAATAAATAAATAAATAAATAAATAAATAAATAAATAAATAAATAAATAAATCTCAATCAATGACCCTAGGCAGTTTACAATTCAAAAAATAGAATTAAAAATATACACTACAATTAAATGTTCAAAGAGACTCCACCATAATTGCCTTGACCGTAAAATGGCTGTAGTTTCCTAAAGTACATTTCATGATTCTGTCCCTTATTTAATTCTTGCATTAAAACTCCTGGCTGAAATGGTTATGATTCTTATTTCCTTGATCATGCAGAACGCTTGGCGCTAAGTAAAGCTACATTAAAAATGCAGGATGGAGTAATACATTTCAACAAAAATGTATATGGAAAAAGCATATATTATGCAAAGTCAACCTGAAAGTTATTGATTGTAATTCATTCCATTAAAATGTCATAATAGGAGATTTAATTCATTATTCCTGCTCTTCTTCCCACAGGATCCAAAAGCATAAAAGAGGTAAAATATATTTTTCATTCTTTTTTTATTTATGAAGACCTATAGAATCAGCAACTGAAAAACGACTTTGCAGCAGTCTTGCTGTAGAAATGGACTTGAGGCAATACAACACTATTTCCTTATTCTGCAAAAGGAGTATTAACACAGAGTCCTTGGTTTTTTTTAAAAAATAAATATTTTATTAGTTTTAAAAACAATGGACATTGCTCAATGTCTCTGGTTTCTAACATTTGCGTCAAATTCAAGTTAATAAGTAATATTTTCCTTAATCTATATACAAATTTACATATCTCCTATTTCATTATATATCAAATATACAGTATTTTACTTCCTAAACAGCTATACATATATTTAATAAACCTATATTACACTCACAAATTCAATATACATTGATATATTGATATACATTGATATACACATTTCCAGACATTCATTATCCTTTGTTTTTGGCATTCTTCCTCTTATCTAACCAATTATAAAATTTATTCCAGACTTCATAATATTTGGATTCACTTTTGTCTTTGAGTTCTAAAGTAAGCCTGTCCATCTCTGCACAGCTATAAATTTAACAGAGAGTCCTTGTTGCTCTCTGAGTTAGTGGTTTTCATGTAATGATGTCAGTGCACTGATGAAGTTACTTAGCTTGGTAATGAAACATCTTAAAAAATCCACTAAGCTTAGATTGCACCAAGGACCCCAACCCTGAGCTGCAAATACTCTCTTCTATCCAAGTCTTAGGGTGTTTGCATCTGCACATTCATATATGCTGGTTAAAATAAATCAATTAGTCCTATAAAAAAGATTTATTTATTTATTTATTTATTTGATTGATTGATTGATTGATTGATTGATTGATTGATTGATTTATATGCTGCCCTTCTCCGGAGACTCAGGGCGGCTTACAATGCGTTAAGCAATAGCCTTCATACTTTTGTATATAACTGCTTAGTAGGGCTTTCGGGCCCCCCTAAGTGGTGTTCTTTTTTATACAAAGTCAGTTTATTACCCCCACAATCTGGGTCTTCATTTTACCTACCTCAGAAGGATGGAAGGCTGAGTCAACCTTGAGCCTGGT